AGTGGATAGAGCGTCGGCCTGCGGACTGAAAGGTCCCGGGTTCGATTCCGGTCAAGGGCATGTATCTGGGTTCCGGGCACATCCCCAGTGGGAGATGTGCAGGAGGCAGCTGATTGATGTTTCTCTCTCATCGATGTTTCTGTATCTCTCGCCCTTCCTCTCTATCTCTCGCCCTTCCTCTCTGTAAAAAATCAATAAAATATATTTAAAAAAAAAAGAAAAAAGAATTTTGGTATGACTGTAGACTTTGTGTTAACTTTCCTCTGTGTTTTGTAAGGAGAGCATAAATCCTCAAAGTCAGGGATTCTTTGTGTCCTTCATAGAACATAGCTCAGGATATAGTGGATGTTTCCTGTGTTGACTGATTAATGATTGATGAATTGGTTGACACCAACGTGAAACATAGTTCAAGATGAAAAATAAATCTTTACCGCTTCACATACACTAAGATGGCTAAAAAATCATCTTCAACAACAACAACAAAAAATGATAAAAAGTATTGTCAAGTATGTGGAGAAATTAAAATCCTCATATGGCCCTGGCCAGTGTGGTTCAGTTGGTTGGAGCATTATCCCATGCATCAAAGGGTGGCAGGTTTGGTTCCCAGTTGGGGTGCGTGTGGGAGGCAGCCGACCAATCTCTCTCTCTCTCTTTCTCCCCCTTCCTCTGAATAAAAGCAATTTTTTTAAAAATTGGGGGGTGGAGGGGGAAGAATGCCCATACCTTTTTTAAAAATCCTCATACGTTGCTGATTGGGGTTGTAGAATGTACAGCCACTTTGGAAAACAGTCTGGCAATGCCTCAAAAGTTAAACATAGAGTTACCATATGACCCAACAATTTCACTCCTAGGTATGTGTTCAAAATAATTGAACACATATATCCAAGTATACAAATGTTCAGGGCAGCATTACTAATAATAACCAAAAATTGTTAACTACCTAAATGTCCATCAGCAGATGAATGGATAAACAAAATGTGGAATATTTATACAATGGATTTATTAAGCCATAAAAAGGAATGAAATGCTGGTACATGTTACAATATGGATGAACACTGAAAACATTATGCCAGTCACAAAGACTGCATACTGTAGCCCTCGCCAGGTAGCTCAGTTGGTTAGAGCTTGTCTGGATATGCAAGGTTGTGGTCGCTCTCCAATCAGGGCACATACAAGAAGCAACCAATGAATGCATAAAGAAGTGGAACAACAAATTCTCTCTCTCTCTCTCTCTCTCTCTCTCTCTCTCTCTCTCTCTCTCTCTCCCCCCAAACCAATTAAAAATATTTTAAATGACTAGATATTGTACGATTCCATGTATATGAAGTGTCCAGATTCAACACATCTATAGAAACAAAAAGTGGACTCATGGTTTCCAGAGAGAAATGAGCAGTGACTGCCAATGGATATGAGGTTTCTTTTCAGGGCGATGAAACGTTCTAGAATTAAATAGTGGTGATAATTGCACAGCCTTGTGAATGTACTAAAAGCCTGAATTATATAGTTTAAAAGACAGAATTTGTGGTATGTGAATTATACCTTAGTAATGCTGCTCTAAAAGAAAAAAAAAGCTTTATTGTTTTGAGCCACTGATGTTTTGGGTTTGTTTGTTTGTTTGTTTGTTTGTTACCTCAGCATTACAGAGTCCACCCTGACTGATACACCCAGCCAGATTATCAATCAAATGCAAGGGCAGAATAAAGACACGTTCAGACCTGCAAAGGCCCAAATGGCTTCATCAACTAATGTGCATTTTTAAACACGCATTAATTTTCACACTAATCACTGACTGGATAAGATGTAACTTATATAATGTTCAAGCAGAAAAAGCCTTCCTGTGGAAGACAAGAGCAAATGACACAACTCCGTCCTCAGCCAAGAGGCCTTGAGAGCAGTCAAAATTGCAATGGCATTGAGACTTTTCTTTAACTTTACAAACCCAGAGGGCATAAGAGCTAATTTCCTTTGTTAAAGAGAGACTCATATCTGAACTTAGGTTTCCTTCAGATGAAAGAAGGCCTAAATGTTTGCTTACACATGAGGCAGGACTTCTCCTAAAACATGATTGAAATAGTCTTTTACTTTCCTGTCCCTTTGCTCAGATTGCCTCGCTTCTCATCTAAATTGTAAGACCTTGGCAACGGTTCACTGCGGATAACTTGCTTGTATAAAGAGAAAATAGTATCCTTATTTCTGATTTTGAAATCAGAAGGATAGAATAAAAGAATAAAGAAAAGAAAGAGGAAATGAAAAGTCATATTGTTTTGTTGCTAGGGTCCTAGTCACCTCAAGCCCCTGACTTCATCCCCTGATTTCTTCCTCCTCTCATTCCCCTGATTCTTCCCCAGAACCAGGAACTATCCACCTTTGTGACATCACCTCTATTGCTAAGCAATAGACTCAGGGGTCCACTAGCCCCATAAGCCCTGGGGGAAGCTTTGGACAAAGGTGCTTGAAGAAGGAAGCTTCAGAGGAAAGAAGTCGCCAACATGTTGCGTGTTGTAGTGGAGTCGGCCAAGATTAACCCGCCCCTAACCCCCCCACCCAGACCCTGTGTGTCTGTCTACTTCAGAGGTAAGCACCAGGATTCTGGATGGAAGAGAGACACCCCAAGAGGCAACACGTATTCAATGAAAAAAATAGGATTATTGGTGCTCTATTATGTGAAAGTAGCTCTGTCTGACAGAAAGCTAAGGTGGACACCCTCCAGTTCTTTCATAACTTATCATCCTTATTACCATTATTTCTTTTATTCTGACGTTTTTACTAGGGCATAGTTATGGGAAAAAGAGAAGATTAATACTTTTCTCAAATTATTGATCCCAAGCTTCTATGAAATAGGGTTATGCCACAAACTCAAGTTTAAAGAAAAAAAAGTACCTGCTTCATAGGATCAACGTGAGGATTTTATCTTATTGTTTTTTAAATCATTTTAAAAAAATATATTTTATTGATTTTTTACAGAGAGGAAGGGAGAGAGATAGTTAGAAACATCGATGGGAGAGAAACATCGATCAGCTGCCTCCTGCACATCTCCTACTGGGGATGTGCCCGCAACCCAGGTACATGCCCTCGACCGGAATCGAACCTGGGACCTTTCAGTCCGCAGGCCAATGCTCTATCCACTGAGCCAAACTGGTTTCGGCAATTAAATCATTTTTTATTTTCATTTACAGTTGACATACATTATCGTATTTGTTTCAGGTGTACACCCCAGTGATTAGACATTACATACTTAATAAGTGATCATCCTGATAAATCTCACATTCATCTGACAACATACATAGTTGTTATACTACTAGAGGCCCAGTGCACAAATCCGTGCACCTTGAAAGGAACTGTGGGCCGCGAGGCTGAGGTGGGCACAGGGGCGGGTCTTGACCCATCCTCTGTGCCCCACCCAGCCCCTTCCTCCCCCACCCCCCACCCCTGGGCCCTGGGCCCCTGCAGCTCCGCTCCCAGCAGGATGGGACTGCGGTGTGGGAGCCAAGAATTTTCAGTAAGCAACAGAGGCTCACCCCAATGACAACGACTGGTGCCCTGCCTTGGTCTGGTGCCCCCTCTCACTTGCTCCACCATCCTGCGGTGGCTGATGCCTGCCATGTTCCATGTGCGCCCTCTGGTGGTCAGCACACGTCATAGCAACCAGTTGTTCGGTTGTTCCACCGTTTGGTCTATTTGCATATTAGGGTTTATATATAGAGATTATTGACTGTATTCCCTATGCTTTACATTCCCATGACTATTCTGTAACAACTAATTTGTATTTATTAATCCCTTCACCTTTTTCACCCATCCCCCCCAACACCCCTCCCATCTGACAACTGTCAAAACATTGTCTGTATGTATGATTCTGTTTCTGTTCTGCTTGTTAGTTTATCTAGTTTTTTAGATTCAATTGTTGGTAGGTATGTATTTATTGCCATTTTATTGTTCTTTTTTTTTTTTTATTCTTCATCCTGTAACACAGACCCAGAGCCGCCTCTAGGCAAGTTACTGCCCAATAACTGAGCCAGAATGGGTCCAGTGGTTCCTACCAGAATGTTTCTCAGCTCTTCCTTCTCATCATTAGTTTTTAACTCGAGATTATCAAATGGATCTTCACACTCAAAGTGAGCAGGCTTGACATCTGTCTTCTTATGGGGTGGGCTGAGAACTTTGTTTCGTGGCACTGCTGCTGACCCAAGTTGGGTGAGGATGCTATTGTGCTGTGCAGTGGCAAGGATGGGGTTAAGGGGAGGTGGCATTGTGGCTGTACTGTGAGTGTTGGAGAAACTCATTTTGTTATTGCCCTCTGGGGCCACTCTTAGGATTCACTTTAGCTTCTGCTTCCTCAGCCTTACACTCTGCTTCCCGCTGGGTTTCTTGGATTTTCTTAATATCTTCAGCCCACTCAATGGTTTTCTTGTCCAAGGGGAAGTCATACTATACTTCTCTGACAACCTGCAAACAGTCAGGCAGGGAGAAGCCAATAGCTAGACCCACCTTAGCTGGTGTTTTGAATTTGTCTCCTATTTGAAATGGGACATCATCAAGGTAACTGAAAGTCCCATGAAAATCCACACCCAACTTCTTAGAAGCCATTTAGACCCTGAATGCTGCTGCCGCTGCTGTCCCAGAAGCCAAAAGATGCTGGCACCACCGACTTTGGTCCTGGCTGACGGCTCTTAGGGAGAGCGAACACCACCACCTTCAGCTCTGACCCGCCCCCCCACCCCCCCGCCCCCCGGGCCAGGCCGTCACCTTAGCAGAAGCCAATACCACAGCCACCATGTTGAAATCCTACTTCCCTCTCACTGAGCATTCTTATGGCCAGTGTTTTGACCTCTTCATCCAGTAGATTGCTTGCCTCAATTTTAGCTAATTGTTTTTCTGGAGTTTTGTTCCTGTTCTTTCATTTGGGCCATGTTTCTTTGTCTCCTCATTTTGGCAGCCGCCTGTGTTTGTTTCTATGTATTAGGTAGAGCTGCCGAATCTCCCAGGCTGGGTAGAGTGGCCCAATGTGGTAGGTGTCTGTTAGGGTCCAGTGGCACAGCCTCCTCAAAGCTGAGTACTTGAGGTCACCCTGCCCCCGTGTGGGTTGTACACCCTCCTCTTGTAGCTGAGCTCTGATTGCCATTGGCATGTCAATGGAAGGTATTTATCCAGGCTGATCAGCTGCAAGGACTGGCTGTGACTACTGACCACCGACTTCCACCCACCTTGCTGACTTAGCTGTGCAGGGTCCACCCTCCAGAGCAAAACTTATTTCAGCAGGACTCTGGTGCCCACTGAGTCCACCCCTTGAGTGTCTTGCTTGTGGAAGTGGTTGGTGATGGTGCTTCAATGTGATCTGAAGCTGTCCACTGGGTGAGCTGGCTCTGGGCCCCCAGGATGTGCAGGCCAAGATCAGCCACTGCCTGTGTCCTGCATGGAGCCATTTGGCATGAGCTACAAAGCAATCTGCAAATGGCTGTCACTTGTGCTGGACTTGGAGGTACCCAGGGGAGACCAAGCTGGGAACCAAGACGGGCTGCTGCTAGTGCCAGGCCTGGGGCCACTTAGCTAGAGGTGCAGGGCTCTCTGAGACCAGATGATGCTTGTTTTAGAGAATTTAGGAAAATCTGAAGCATGAGCCAAGAAAGGCCATTTGTATGGAAAAGCCACTGGAAATAGCATGGGTGGGCCTGAAAGTTGGGTGGGGCAGGGCCTCAGGGAATCACCAGTGTGTGTGTGGAGGGAGACAGTGTTAACAAGGTTGATGAAATCTCAGATATGGCACCTGCCTGCTCTGTGTGGGGAGGGCTCATCAAAGGAAAAGGCCTCTGCCAGCACTTCTGTCAGGGAGAAAGCTACCCCTCCATCTCGCCCCCTGATACCCAACAATTAAGTTCCACCCCACAAGTCTCTGGTGCCTTTCAAGCTGCTGCCTGCTACCCCTACCGTACCACTTCTCCCTGCCCCCAGTTCAGAGGAAGTGAGTCAGAGTAAGGCAGTGTATGGGCCCTTTCAGAGGAATGCTATGGGCCCTGACCAGTTTGGCTCAATGGATGAAGCATCAGCCTTCGGACTGAAGGGTCCCTGATTCCGTCAAGGGCATGTACCTTGGTTGCAGGCGCATCCCCAGTGGGGAGTTTGCAGGAGGCAGCTGATGGATGTTTCTCTCTCATCGATGTTGCTGGCTTTCTATCCCTCTCCCTTCCTCTCTGTAAAAAAGAAAAAGGAATGCTATGGATTCCAGCAGCCTCTGTCTCACTCAGCTTCCATCCCCACTGGTTTTTAGTCAGAAGTTATGGGGATTTCTCTTCTCAGCACTGGAACCCTGGGCTGAGGGGCCTGGTGTGGGGCTGGGACTCCTCACTCCTCAGGGGGGACCTCCACAGCCAAGATATTCCTCCAGGTTTTTACCTGCTACATTTGGGTGTGGGACCAGCCTGTTCCATGTCTCAGGCCCTTAAGATCAGTCTTGGTGTGGCTTCCTTATATCCTTATCTGTAGGACTTCCATTCAGCTCAATTTCAGGCAGTTCTGAATGATGGTTGTTCTGTAGTTTAGTTGTAATTTTAATGTGGTTGTGGGACAAGGCGAGATTGTGTGTACTGGAAGTCCCAATGTAAGGACTTTAATAGATAATATATGAACAATTCTTTCTACAACTTCTGAAAATTGCTCAAGAATATTAATTACTTTTATAATCAACAAAAATTTATATTTTCATAGATATAATGATTTTTGCTCCTCACAACAAATGCATGAGGCAAATAAGGGAAGTTTTATTGTCTCCATTTTTAATAGGTAAGGAAAAAAGTCCAAGAAAGGTGGGAAGAAGGGGGTTAAATGGTTTATGAGAGAGAATGAAAGAGTTTAAGTATCTATATATATAAAAGGCTAAGCAACCATCCTACTGTCTGACCGATTCATAGATATGATGAACACTGACCACCAGGGGGCAGACGCTCAACGCAGGAGCTGTTGAGCTGCAGTGACTTAGCAGTGGTAGTTCTCCAGTGACACACCCCAGAGCCAGAGAGGGGGAAGCCAGATTCTGGGATGCATCACCAGAGAACCACCCTCTCACATCCGGGACTCCTTGGGGGATGTCAGAGAGCCGGTTTCGGCCCAATTCCCGTAGACCAGGTCCAGGGACCTCACCCTACTGGAGGGACCCCCACTCACTCCACAAATGCCCTTCAAGCTGCAGTGCCACCCTACGTGCGGCTGGCTAGGGAGGGACCATGGGATGTTGGCTCCAAGGTGTCAGCCCATCTCACCCAGTCCTGCCCCGCTGGCCACCTTCTAATTAATTTCCTTTCTATGTGCACAAATTCGTGCACTGGGCCACTGGTATCTTCATAGCAAAGAGCTAGGATTAAAAGGGGAAGAAGAAAAAGAAAAATGAACCATCTATTGGCGAAGAGTATGGAAAGGTAGCTACAGGCAAATGAAGTTTTCCAGGGTATGTGGGGAGTGAGAAGACTGGGGCCAAGAACAAAGGACAGTACTTCCTATGAGAGACATGAGTCAAGCATGCAATTCCTTCCATTTATCTCTCTTTCTCTTTCTCTCTCTCTTTTTCTGTCTCTCCTCCCTGCCCCCTGCTCCACCTTGAGAAGAATCTCAAAGTAATGTAACAATTTAGAGGTTCTTTGCAGGGCTACAGACTGTTCTTTGTTAAAGATATTTCTGGAGGAGGGGGATTTTAGCAGATAAAGAGCTTCTAACCCATTATCAATGTTTTGGGATATCTCTTTGGGTGCACTAGGCCTTGCTCTGAGAATAAATAAACCCTTACATCTCAGTGCCGGAACACAGTAAAAGTTAATTTCTTGCTTACACCAAGCCCTGTGTGGATGGCGCTGTCAGGCAGCTCTGCTGAGTGGTTTAGAGACCAGCTGCTTGCTTCTGTGGCTGCAGAGAAGGAGAACGGAGAACCTCATGGGAGATTTTAGGAGCTAGGCCTGGCAGTGGTGACTGTCCCTCCCATGCCCCTTTGGCCAGAACATGGCCCCACCTGGCTGCAAGATGGCTGGGAACTATGTACTCAGGAAGAAACAGAAACAAACACAAAACATTATCTGTCACCAGGGCTGATGTCACTCTTATAAAAAGCGAGAAATTCTGAAACCCCCTGAGGAAGAAGGAATCAGTGCCATTTCACACCTGCCATTACAGACTTGAAGATTTATTCTTTGTGTGTTTTTTTAATCCTCACCTGAGGACATGCTTTTATTAATTTTATAGAGAAAGGAAGGGAGAGGGGGAGAGAGAGAAACATTGATGTGAGAGTGAAACATCAATTGGTTGCTTCCCACATGTGCTGGACTAGGGATCCAACCAGCAACCAGATATGTGCCCTGACCGGGAATCAAACCCGTGACTTTTTGGTGTACAGGACAACCCTCCAACCAACTAAGCCACACTGCCAGGGTGACTCGAAGTTTTTTAGAGCTTCCCACCTCTCTTTACCCGACTTGAACCTAGACTTTGAAATATTTCCTGTCTCCAATACCAACCCCTTCGTGTCTTTGCAGATGTCAAGAAGAAAACTTCGGAGGGGGAAGGAAATAGCCCCACCTGGAACGAAGTAAGATGTGCCAGGGCAAGCCCCGAGGAGGCAGTGACACCCAGTAGTGAGGGAGAGGTCATAGAGCTTCACCAGCTTTTCCCACGGCTGGGCATCTTGGCCTGGGAGTAGCCCCTCAGCTGGCAAAGCTGTGAAGGCCTGAGGGCTGCAGCAGCCACATCTGCCCAGCGCTGCTCTGGCCCTTCTTCCTCACTCCGGGGATGGACCGTGGTGTAGTCCTTCCTGTCCAACCTGGCCATCCTGATGTCCCCAGACACCTGAAGCAGAGACGAGGCTCCCTGTGCAGGATCTCGGCTCACTTCCCATCCATCCATGTTCCCACTACCCCTTGGTCCCCTTAACTAACATGCTCACGACACTGCCGTTCAGGCTATGGAGGCCCAGGGAGGATGCCCAGGGAGGATGCCCAGCACCTTGGTGATAAGGCAGCAAATGCCATCCTCTGAGGCAATTAGACTCGAGGGAGGGTCCTCAGGTTGAGAGAAACACAGTGCCAGCCTGTTGTCCTAGAAGGATGGGAAGGGGCGGGTAGAGAAGGGATGCTGACTTCTCTGTGCCTCCCACAGACCCTAATTTGGCACCTCTGGAACAAACCCATACAGAATGACTCTTTCCTGCAAGTCATCCTTCAGGACTTGTGCTCAGAAAAGAAAGAGAGGTAAGAGAGAGAGAGGCACAGGAGCCTGACTCCCTAACAAAGCTACAGCAAGTCTCCTGTTCCATAATTCAGTCACACGGACCAGAACCCACCCCAGCCAGCTACTTCAAAAAGTGTGTGTGTGTGTGGGGGGGGGGGGGGGCTTGTGGAAGGATAGTGAGGCGAGGAGTGAAGATCAACTAGAACTAGGAACTAGGAGCTCAGGAGCAGCCTGTCGCTTCTGAAGCCACAGGACTCCCAAGTCTCTGCTTCTCTCTGTCTGTCCCATCAAGGCCCCATTCAGCTGAGACTGGCATCCACTGAGATGGGAGCAATATTTCTACAAGAAAGAATCTAATTGGCCTAGTTTCAGTCCGGTGTCCACCCCCAGTCCAATCAGTTGTCCAATCAGCTGTTATTTGTCATAGTTCCCATTCAGGAGGAGTGTGGGAGCAGCTTCTGAGAAGGGGCTTGGCAGGCAGAGCCAGTAACTAGGGTGCCCAATGCCCAGGGAGCCCCAAAGCCAATTCCCAGAGACTCGAGATCCTGTGTCCTCTGATGGATGCTCCCCATCACTGTGCTCTTCCCTCAGCCCCTCTATGGAAAACACAGCCCCTAGGAGAGAAACCCGCCTCTAGATAATGTCCTGCTTGAGACAGGGAAGGACCCCATCCCCTGGCCCAGGCTCCCATACCTGCTCCTTATCTCCCCAGGTTCATCGGCTTGGTCACAATCCTGCTCAAGCCCTTGGTGATAAAACCAAGAGAAGTTCTTTTTGTGAAGGACCTGACCCTCCTCAACCATTCCATGAAGCCCACAGATGTGAGTTGGGTCCCAGGAAGGGTGGTTGGAGGATTGGGGACAACCTGAGAAACTGGGCTACTCTGCTCCAGCAGGGGGCCCAGTGACCTCATCCAGAGACTGCTTCCTGCCCTCAGGGGTCCCATCACACTGCCATCTTCTCCCTGACTTCCCTACTCGCCCGCCCACCCATTTAGACTATTTAGGTGATCATCCGCTGGGTGTCTGCGACTGTGCTAGGCCTGGGATACTAGAGTGAATGAAACCCACAGTCTAGTGGAGTAGGCACCACTCACAATCACAGTGCTCCAGCGCAGTGTACAAGAGTGAAGAGAGCTAGGTCACTGAGGTCAAGAGGGGATCAACGATTCTGCTTGGAGGTCGTGGAAGGCTTTACAGAGGAGGTGGTTAAGCCATGTGGAAATTGGACAATGGCCAGAGCATATAGGAAAACCAACCAGATGAGAACCAGCAAATGCTATGTATTCAGAACTGGCTATAGCATGGGAGTCAGCCACCATCACGTGGGTTTGGCAGAGACTCAAAGGCAGGCAGAGGAGAGGGGAAACTCTATAGCAGAAAAAGGGGAGACTCCTGGTGTGTGTGGATGGGAGGTTGTTGGCCTGGGAATGCTGTAAGTGACGTCACTAGAAGCTGGGCATCCTATGTGATTGGTTAGGGTGCACATTTGGCTTTCTCCCATTAGTCCTAAGAGTGAAGTGGGGACAAAAATTAGAGCAGTTGCAGTTATTAATCAATCCTGGCCATTGGGGGCTGATCACTATTGTTTGCTTCCTGGACTGTTGCTAGAGCTAGTGGTCTGGCTTCCTGTAAGTCTGATTTATAGCACACTGGCTTTCTGGGTTGGTTACTGTAGATACTGGTTTGGTTTCCTGGACTGAGTGCTGCAGACTGTGGGGCAGAGTTCTGTTTTCCTATATGCTCTGGCCATTGTCCAATTGCCTATTCCGTTTCTCAGTTTATAACCTCCCTGCACCCCAGACTGCACAAGGCCCCAGGATGTGGCATTGCAATATGGTTAGCACCACTCCACCCTGGAGAACCGGGCATGAACCACCAGGCTGGGCTGGGTTTCAGTGCTGGGACGTGGCAAGGATCGCATGGTTTGGCGTACAGCTCCCTTGTCTTTGCCTTGTAGTGCACTATCACCCTACATGTGGCCCATATGACCAAACGGGACATTGAGAAGACAGGTATGGCTTGTCATGGAGCTTACCCCTGCCTTTCCCCAAGCTATGCCTGGATGGGCATTTGGGGACCTTCAAGACCCAACCCTTGAAGCCTACAAAAGGATTGTGACCAGGTTAGGGACTAGAGGCCAGATCTCCAGACTCAGCTGAGGCTATCTGTCACCTCAATATGTCCATTTGTCATCTCTAGACATGCACCCTCAATGGGCTGCAGGGAGAGCTAAGGATGGCCATTTCCAAGAGCCCCCATGTGTGGAGAGTGGGTCTGGGGTTACTAAGGATAGGTGGGGGCCCATGGAATGTTCTGGGGCAGATGTGTGTCCCTATCAGGTCTTGGCCATAATTTCAGTCAGGAACTAGTCTTTGGGGATAGAATAAAAAAATGGGGGAAATACCTCATGTCCTGAGCCAGCCCTGAGAGCTCACCCTGGACTGTGTTTCCCCAGGGAATGAAGACCTCCTGGACGTAACTGCACTAGAAGCAGCCAGGCAGAAGCTGATGGTTCCCAGCTACACTGTGCACAAGGAGCTGTTCGCAAAGCCGCAGCACTTTCAGGTTGAAAGCCCATGTAATTTGCATGACACCTCATGGTGTTCCCAAGTTATCCCCATTCTCCACAAGGTTGTGGCGGAGGGTTGGAGCTTCAGACTGGGCTGCAGGTCCTCAGATTCTCACTGCATCCCTGCTCATCCAGGGGCCACTCTGGAGAACTTCTGCACAGAGCTGGAGCTAGAGACAGTCCCAGTGGGGCAATAGGAGGCACTGATGGCTGTGCACCAGCAGGTCCTGGCAGGTGCCTGGGAGACAGAGCAGAACGCCTGGGCCCTGCCCTGCAGGAGCCCACGGGATTCTTGACAACATAAGGCTAGCCACATCCAAGGTCAAATTAGCTGACTGGGAGAGGTTGAAGGGAGTTTGAGTGGATCCGTGGGAAGGTCCACGGGTTCTACTGTGAATTCTGCAATCCCCAACTTCCCTTCAGTCTCAAGCCTGTGACCTAATGTTTCTGCCATGGTATTGCCTGCCTCAGCCTGCCACTTGCTCAGGAGGCTGGGAGTCAACCTTGACTACTCCTCTTCCTCACCCCACTCCCTGCATCCAGCCACTGACCAAAGCCAACCTGAGTGCTCCTATTTCTCTGTCACCACTTCCATTCCTTGGCTTGATCCATCACTTCCCTGGGCCAAACACCGGGCTTCCAGCTCTCTCCTGTCCATTCTTCAGTCAAAGTGGTCTTTCAAAGATGTCATTCTCATCTGCCACCCACCTGGTTAAAAATGTCCTTAAAAATAAGTACACCCCAGTGTCCCCAGGACAAAAGCCAAACTCCTTACACTGGTTCCCAGGTCCTAGATGCACCAGCCTGCCCCTCCAAGCTACCCTCTCCCCTGCCCCTGCCACCCTGCTCTAGCATCCTGGACAACTCACAGTCCCCATCTCAAGCCTCTCTCTAGCCTCCAGGCCTTTGCACGTGCTGCCTTTGGAATACCTTCCCTCTGCCTGTGGGCCCCATCCTTTTCACCAGGCTAGTTTACCACAGGAGAGAAGAATATCAGTGTGCCTGTGTCACGCCCCTTCCTATGGCATAGTGATAAGGACAAGATGCTGGCATGAGGGCTGTTAGCCTAGTTTGGCCCACTCTTGTCTCTGATGCTCAGGTAGCTGCGGACGTGTTAGTCTCTGAAAGGTTCCTGGAGTTGATGGAGACACAGGAGACCTCATGGAGAATGATTGGACCCACAGCCTGGCCTGGGGGCCCTGTATGCTATTTACTGCCTATAGTCAGATGGCAAGCTCCCGAGACTGTGCCCTGCTCTCCACTGCCATCGCTATTTCTTCTCACCCCGGCTCAGCCAGCCTGGATCTTACATGGCTCCAAGTTGCTCCTATCCCCCCAGCTTCTCATTCTAGGCTCAGATGTCACAGTCTCTTTACTGAGTCTTGGTAAAGTACATAAAAGCAGAGATTATACCACAGATTGTAGATTCAACTGCATGAAACTTAAAAATTTTAAATTCCTTAAAAAGATCATAGATAAATAAAAACCATCCCTGGCCAATGTGGCTCAGCTGGTTGAGCATTGTCCCATGCACTGAAGAGTCACCAGTTCGATTCCCGGGCAGGGCACATAACCCAGATTGTGGGTTAAATCCCTGGCCTGGGCATGGATGGGAGGCAACCAATCAATGTTTCTCTTTTGCATTGATCTCTCTCTCTTTCCCTCTCTCTTCGTCCCTCCTTTCCTCCCTCCCCATCCTCTCTCTCTCTAAAATCAATAAAAATTTATAAAAAAGGAAAAATAAATAAGTAAAAATCAACAAACAGAGCCCTAGCTGGTTTGGCTCAGTAGATAGACCATCAGCCTGCGGACCAAAGTGTCCCGGGTTCGATTCCAGTCAAGGGCACGTACCTTGGTTGCAGGCTCCTTCCCGGCCCAGGCCGTGGTTGGGACACGTGCAGGAGGCAACTAATCAATGTGTTTCTCTCACATCAATGTTTCTCTCTGTCTTTCCCCTTTCTCTTCCTCTCTCTATAAAAATCAATGGAAAAATATCCTCGGGTGAGGATTAACGGAAAACAACAACAACAAACAGAAACATTAGACTTTTTTTCTTATTCTGTAACAAGCCCATACCAGTGGAGAAGAAAAACGAAATCCACACAAGATGACAAGGACAAAGCAGGGGAGGTGACAGTTCCCAGAAGGACACAAAGTCATGGCCATCCCGAGGCGTGGCTCCAGGCAGGCGGGCCCAGCTCCTGCCAGCCCTCTCCCTGTGGGCTCTCCTTCTTGCCACAGCAGAGGTTTCTCATCACAACACTTGGGTCTTTTAGAGAGAATCCCTGTGGGAGAAGGGGAGCCCAAGTCCCCAACATCAGGGTCTCATTGTGTCCCCGGTAGGTCCAAGTGAAGGTGTTTGAAGCCCGCCAGCTCATGGGCAACAACCTCAAGCCATTGGTGAAGGTGGTCATTGGAGGCCATCAATACCACACACGTACCAAGATGGGAAACAACCCTTTCTTCAACGAGGTGGGCTGCACGTGCCCTTCAGGGCTGAATGGGGCACTTTGGTCAATTGAGTCAGTCGAGCTGAGCAGTTCCTGCAGGCAGGCAGCCAGCTTGCTCCTTGACTGGAGTGTGTTCATGTGTTCCACACACATTTACTGAGCTCCTACAGAGGGTGGAGCACTGTGCTTGGCACTGGGGCCACAGATGGATAATTTGCAGGAATGACTGATAGAACTGTAGATGAGGGGAGGGAAGCCTGCACAATGCCCTGGGGTCTGTCATGAATGGCACTTGGGAGACACGGAGGGACTGAAGCAGGAGAGTGACAGAGCCAGGTTTGCATTTGGAAAGGAAGTTCTCACTGCAGCAGGGAATGGTGGTGGAGGGGACTCACAGGGCAATCTGGAAGGAGACAGAGGTTCCACTCCAGGGCGGCTAGCTGGACCTCCAGCTGCTCACAACAGGTTCTGTGGGAATCCCCCACCCCTGCTTTTTATCCAGGCAGAAAACCCTCCAGGAGCCAGCAGGCCTCTGCTTCCTGCGGGGGAGCGTTAGGGCAGTATGCGCTGAGGGACATTGAAATGGACACATGACAGGAAGAAGCCCACCACTCTGAGCCTTTAGGCTCACTGAGAACTAACTCCATCCCCATCCTGTCCTTCAGATCTTCTTCCAGAATTTCCATGAGATTCCTGCAAAGTTCTTCGATTACACCATCTTAATCCAGGTAAAGAACCAGAAAAGATGGGTCCACTCTCTTGTACCTCAATTCGGGGAAGCACTTCATTCCCCAGCCTCACCCTTAGAGCCAGATCACCTCAGATGGTCTTTCTGAGCCCAGGGCAGCATCTCCACCACCTTCTTCACTCTCCTGCTGCCCAGACCCTCATTCATTCATTCATTCATTCATTCATTCAGCAAATATGGAATGCCAACTGCTAGGCCCTGACCTGGACATGGAGGTGAACAAAGCAGCGTCTCCCCATGTGCCAGGACTCTCATGCCACCAGGGGACCCTCTAATATCCTCTCGGGGGGCCACATTCTACTCTTCTACCAGAGGGAACCGGGTAACAGTGGTGAACATGTGTTTATCAGATGTCTCGTATGTCCCAGCACAGGGCTGAGGAGAAAGAGGAGGCCACCCCTCAAAGAGTTTCCACATTTGTGGGAACACAGGCACATAGGAACCAACCGGGACAGCAGGTGGTGAGAGAGTCGAGCGCGACACTTGGCCTTGTGTTGATCCTTGGGTTGAGCAAGTGAATTGGCCTCTTTAATCAATTTTCTCACCAGGAAAATGGAACTAAAAACCGGAACCCCACAGGGTTTCTCTGAGAATGAGAAGAGACCCGATGTGGATGTACAGAATCGGCTACGGGGATGCGCCCTTGCAGTTCCTGCCCTGGGCGAGGAGGAAACTGGGCTGTGTAAACTGAACTCTTTCCGGCTCTTCCCCTGCAGGTGCTGAATTCCTCAGCGATAAGAGCCAATTCGGAGATCGGGAGATTCCAAGTGAGCACTGGAGGAAGGGGGAGGTTTGGGGAAGGGTCAGAGAGACCCACCCACCCTGGGCTCCACCCCTAGGCCAGGAAAGGAATTCATCTACCTACTGGGTGACTTAGACAAGGCATTCTGAGCCCCTGCTTCCTCGTCTCTAAAGGAGGGCGATCACTTACTCAGCCTCAGGATTGTCGTGAGGATTAAAGCACGTAACATTCAGGAGAACGCTGGGTGCCGTGTTGAAGTCCCCACACTTCACAATGAGATACAGTTCAAGCTTCTGTCTCCAGGAAATGGAAGCAGAGGGTCCAAAAGGCCAACCTAATTGTCAAAGAAATCGGAAAGGCTGCTACCTGTGAGGACAGAGTGAAAGGTTTGCTTTGGAAAGACACAGGCTGAGATGAGGAAAGTTTACACATCACAAAGGGCTACGCAAAGATTCCCCAAATCCAGGAAGATCAGAAAAGGTAGGGTTGTCAGGTTAAATACAGGATGCCCCGTTAAATCTGAGTCTTAAACAACAGGTACTTTGTAAATAGAAATATGTCCCAAATACTGCATGGCTCCTCACAAAATATTGCAGGGGACAAACGTATACTGGAAAGTAGTCATGGTGTACGTGCAATTCAAATTTAAGCAGGCATCTGTATTTTTATTCAAATTTAAGCAGACATCTGTATTAAATCTGGCAACCCACAAAAAAGCACTTCACCTGTTAGAATCACTGAAGGAGGAACACATGAGGCCGAAACTGATAAAGATTATAAATTTATTGTTACATTTGCAACAGAAGGGGGAGAACAAAATGCCTTCAGCAGGCCGGAGTAAGGGGAGTGGGATATTTATGTCTACCGTAAAGGTCAGACCAGGTGGGAGGGCGGGTGTAGGTGGTCCATTGGAAACTGGGTAAGGCTCTTTACTGGAAACTGAAAGCCCTTGATCATGTCTTTTGAAATCTGTAATGAGAATAACAGGAAAACAGCCGGGAGGGACGAGAGCCCCAAGCTGGGTATAATGGAGCACAGAATAAAGAATGTGCCTAACATTCCAGCTGGTCTTGTTTTTTCCTGTAAGCTGGGGTTCCTATAAGCTGGGGTTGATGAAGGAGGCCAGTCTCATTCTTCTGTAACTTCTTCATGCTTAGGTGGGATGTAGAAATGTCCCTAATTAATTGGTGATTGAGGAAGGGGATATCTAGTGTAGGTCTGGAATAGCATCACTTCCCCTATAGATCTATTGGCAATTGCCTGAAGGTGGTTTTGGAAGAAGGCGGAAAAGGCTCTTAGGGTGCATGGGCCAAAGATGAGTGCCAGGAAGCACATTAAGAGGGGTCCAACTAGAGGGAGAAGCCAGGCGGTTCAGTTGAGATTCTGTAGCCAGGTGCCAAGGATTCCGAAAGTTGTTGTCGGACTTTTGAGTTCCTATCAACTAGTTTCTTGGCTCCATCTCTTACTATGCCAGACTGGTTGGTGTAAAAACAGCATTCTTAAAGTACTGAGTGCAGGGGAAAGGTAGAGAATATGACCAACATCACCCTTGGAAAAAGGCAAATTTAGGACAAATTAAAGTCAGGTTACTTTCTCACTACTTGTAATAAGCACATGAGCAGTCATGAACTGCTCTCCCCGCCCCCCCCCCCCTCCCCCCGCACCCGCAACGTCTTACTCTCCAAGCCACAGTGCAGGCTTAGAAATTACAAATCTAGAGAGTAACTAGCAGGAGATCAAAAATGTTGTGCTTTTGACAAAGGCCACTGTGAAATTTTCAGAGAATAACCACTCATATGAATTGCTGAGTAAAATACAGAGGGCAGAAAAAAACCTGAGCTTTTAAAAAAATATGTTACTTTTTTGGGAAATTTTCAAAATACACAGAAGTAGAGAGAATAGTATAAATTCCCACCTCCTCATCACTTAGCTTCACCAATTCATTGCCAACTGGGTTTTTATCCACACCCAGCCCATTTCCCCAGCCCCACTGAATTACTTTGAATCAAATCTCGAACATGATAGTTTAATTTAAATATTTCAGTGTGTAGTTCTAAAACATATCTTATTAAGCAAACAAATATGACTATCGCATCTAATTAAAAACCTTTCTAATTTGGTGTTCAAATTCCCCCAAGTGTCTTGTGAATTCCTTTTACAGTTTGCTCAAACCAGGTGCATACATTGCAGTTGCTTAAAATGTATTATCAGGACTCTTTTATTCTGTTGGTCCCATCCCCCTTTTTCCTTCCAATTTATTTATTAAAGAAACAAATTTGTCCTATAGAGTCCCCCTCCCCCTCCCCATCTGGATTTTGCTGATTGCATCTCCAGGGGATCAGTTCTCAGGTCTCTCTGCCCAGGTTTTTCATCTCGAGGAGGCTTCACCAGACTTAGGTCAATTATTTGGCAAGATGGCTTCAGCAGGAGGCACAGAATGTCTGTTGGTCTCTCCGTTTATGTGGGTAACAGCTATTGATGACCACTGCCTAGATCAGTGATGGCGAACCTTTTGAGCTCGGCGTGTCAGCATTTTGAAAAACCCTAACTTAACTCTGATGCCGTGTCACATATAGAAATTTTTTGATATTTGCAACCATAGTAAAACAAAGACCTATGTTTTTGATATTTATTTTATATATTTAAATGCAATTTAACAAAGAAAAATCAACCAAAAAAATGAGTTCGCGTGTCACCTCTGACATGTGTGTCATAGGTTCACCATCACTGGCCTAGATCTATTGCTTCATTAGGGATGACTGAAGTTTTGGGCGTTTTTTTTTTAGGGGTGACTGAGTTTTGTTTTGTTTCCTTCCAGCTTTGTTGAGGTATAATTAACATACAATAAATTATACATATTTAAAATATATAATTTGATACCTTAAAAAATACGTATACACTGGGAAACCACCATCATAATCAAGATAATGAACATATCTGTCACATCAATCATCCCCCAAAGTTTCCTTGTCGCCTTTGTAGTTTTTGCCTCTAACCCCCAACTCACTCCCTCCCATCCCCAAGCAACCAATGGTCTGCTTTCTGTAACTATAGATTGCTTTGTACTTTCTAGAACTTCATAAAAATGGAATCATACAGTATGCACTTTTTTTTTGTTTGGCTGCTTTCACTCAGCATAATTATTTTGAGATTCATCCATGTTTCATATATCAATAGTTCATTTCTTTATATTGCTGAGTAGTATTCATTATATGGATATACCACAGTTTGTTTATCCATTCATCTGTTGATGAACATTTAGATTATTTTCAGCTTTTGGCTATTACAATAAAGCTGCTATAATATCTATATATATAAAAGCCTAAGCAACTGTTATGACCAGTTGACTGAACGACCAGTCAACCGGTCGCTATGACACGCACTGACCACCAGGGGGCAGACGCTCAATGCAGGAGCTGCCCCCTGGTGGTCAGTGTGCTCCCACAGCCAACCTCCCGTGTTCCCTCCCCCTGGCCGGCTGGCCCAATCAGCCACGATCGTTGTTCAGGCCGAGAGACCCCACCTGTGCACGAATTCATGCACCGGGCCTCTAGTTGATGTATAAATCTTAGAGTGGACATATACTTTAATTTCTCTGGAGTAGATATGTAGAAGTAGAATGACTAGCTCTAATGGTAGGTGTATGGTTAACATTGTTGTTGTTTTTGTTAATCCTCACCAGAGGATATTTTTTCAATGATTTTTAGAGAGAGTGGAAGGGAGGGGGCGAAACAGAGAGAGAAACATCATTGTGAGAGGACACATCGATTGGTTGCCTCTTGCACATGCCCCGACCAGGGCTGCAACTGAGATATGTACACTCAACCAGGACCCTTCAGTCCACAGGTCAATGCACTATTCACTGAGCCAAACTGGGTAGGACTAAAGAAAATTCTTAATGGTGTTTTTCTAAAATTCCAAACAAGCTTTATCGTTTTATATTCCCACCGGAGGTATATTAGAGTTCCAGTTGCTCCACATTCTCATCAACACTTGATATAGTCCATCTTATTTTATTTTATCATTCTAATTATGTGTAGTTGTATCTCATGGTGATACACTTCCCTGATGACTAATGATGTTGAACATCTTTTCATGTGCTTATTTGTCATGAATATATCTTCTTTTTTAAAAATATATTTTTATTGATATTTTTATACAGAGGAAGGGAGAGGGATAGAGAGCCAGAAACATCAATGAGAGAGAAACATCAATCAGCCGCCTCCCGCACCACGCCCAACCCCCCATCCCCGCCCCCCGCCCCACTGGGAATGTGCCCCCAACCAAGGCACACGCCCTTGACCAGAACTGAACCCAGGAACCTTCAGTCCACAGGCCGATGCTCTATCCACTGAGCCAAACCGGTCAGGGCATGAATATATCTTCTTTATCTGTTCAAAATGTCTGTTCAAATCTTTTGCTTGTTTTCATTGGGTTGTTGTCTTACTATTGAGTCTTGAAGTTGTCTTATATATTCTTAAGTCCATTATCAGATATATGATTTGGAAATATTTTCTGCCAGTATATGACTTGTCCTTTCATTTGTTTGATAGTGTCTTTTAGAGAGCAGAAGGTTTTTAAATTTCAATGAAGCCCAATTTATCAGATTTCTTTTATAAATTGTGCTTTTGTTGTTGCATCTAAGAAATCTTTGCCTACTTGATCCAAGCAGGTAGCTGGTTTTAAAGCAGGCCTAACATGCAGGATCTGGGGACTGCTCTGTGGACCCTTCAGATGTAAGCGACAGGGGTGGCCTTGCTCCATAGCACATCAATGCTGTACCACATCCCTCCAGCCTCCGTCAGAAACCTTCTCACAGGAAAAGGGAAAACTCATAGTCTCTCTGCCAACAACCTTCTTGACCATTCTCTTCCCCAGACAAGAGGAGCCCTTCCCACACCCGGGGCCAGTGCTGCGTTGCCAGGCAGTGCTGCTTGGTGGTTAAGTGTCCTTCCAATCCAGGCCTCCCCATTTACTAGCTGGAAGATTTGAGCACTTCCCTCAAACTCACTACCTTCCTCTGTAGAATGGAGGAGACATGGACCAACTTCTAGCTTGTTGCAAAGATTTAAAAAGTTAGGGCAGGTCAAGGGGCTAATATTGTCATCAGCGTAGATGGTAATACAAATCTTGGCTGGAGGTTCTAACTAATCTTTATTCCACTCTTGTCTTTTCAGACAGATATTGGTTTTATCTACCACTCTCAAGGTAGGTAAATAGTTGTTGCAAATATGTGTGCCTTCCCAGAAAGACCAGGCCATGTGTCAAGACATCACAAAATCTCTGTATGTTCAACATATGGGGAAGAGTATTTAAGGGTGTGAATTATCTTCCACACTTGACAATATTTTATGGTACTTCATGGCATTTTATCTTGTTTTATAAGAACATCTTTCTCTTTACAACTGAAGAAATCCCTTTGGGTCAAATGCTAATATTTTAATGCAGCCTTGGGCTGACTTTCTTATTTTTTTATTTTTTTATTTACTGATGAGAGAGAAAGAAAGAGAGAGAGAAACATTGATTTGTTGTTCCACTTACTTATGTATTTATTGGTTGATTCTTATATGTGCCCTGACCAGGAATTGAACTTGTAACCGTGAAGTATTGGGATGATGCTCCAACCAACTGAGCTACCTGGCCAGGGCCAGCCTTGGACTGACTTTCTATTTTTGAGTTCATTAGGGAATTGAAGTTTGAGCAAAGATTTCCTCTGTGACCTGGCCATAACATACCAGGTTAAGGTTGGGACTTAAAGTTGAGGAGAATTCTTGTCTTTCTCATACCAGGACAGTAACAATTGTATGTTCCCAGAATGAGAAAGAGGGGTCCCTATTTTCTAAAGGCATTAGCTGGCAGCCTGGTGAGTGCACTATCTTGGCTTAATGGTAGGAGTGACTCTCATTGTCCTACTACTAGATAGCAACCAATATATGAGACATGTTTCCATTCCCCTCTCCCACACAAACAAAGCCTGGTTTCAGGGAAGCATAATGGAGACTGGAAGCTGGTCTCCCATGGACCCTCTGCCTCTCCAGGTCACGCATTCCAGAGGAGGTGGTTAGGCCTCTGCCAGCCAAATGAACCCAACAGTGGTGTGAGAGGCTACCTGAAGGTCACCATTTGTGTGCTCGGTGTGGGAGACCAGGCCCTGGTGAGGCTGCCCCCATACCCAAATCACATTTCCTACACTGTCTGCTTCTGTGGGGCACCCCTGGGCCTTCACATGCTTTCATTTGTCCCCAGTGTCACTTCAGAGTTGTCCACTTATTCCCCACAGTGGCCTTGGCCGTGACCTCCCTGCAACTTTGACCCTGTCAGCTCTCTGGTCTCTCCAGGTAGATCAAAAGCTGCCCTATGATGCCGATGACACCAAAATTCAGATCTTCAAGTCAGCAATGGTCCCAGTGAACTTGGCCTACTTACAATTCTTCATCTACTGCGCAGAGGACCTTCACCTCAGTGAGAGTCAGGGTGGCAGGGAGGAAGCAACTCTGAGGTGCCCTACATGGTGGCACCCTAGGTTCCCGTCGGGTTTGGCTGTTCCATATGGATGCTAATCTAAGATCTGGGGTGAGGGAGAGAGTGAAGCTAAATTCCACCAAGAGTTGTTTTATGGAGACCCCATCACACCCATGAAATTGGGCCGTATGTTCCTGACCTGGCTCTGATGCTCAGGAGCAGAGGTTCACTCAGGAGCAAAGCCCCCACCCTCTGCCTTTATGAGTCATGACACAGAACAGCACACACAGAGACAGTGAAAATGGGAGCGCCGAACCACATTATGGGGGAGGGTTTTAAGTTGTTCAATCACCTCTCCATTTCCTTGTCAAAAAAAAAAAAAAAAATGCTGTTGTCTCAGAAATCTTTAACTTCTTGTTCACAGAGAAACACCATTTAGTGAGTCCAATGTTGGAAGTGGAACTAATTGGGGAAAAGGTAAGTGTAGAAAGGGTGTGTGGCTTAGAGAAATGCTCACCTAGAAAAAAATAGTGTGGGGGTAAGACTCGGTTGGTAGGCAGGACCCCAGGAATCATCTCCCAGTTCTTCCATTAAAGGGCCACATGATCCCACTGGACCAGGAACTCTGTGAAGGTGGAGCCATGGCTCAGCCACTGTCTCGCAGAGCTGTGCCCAGTACCCAGCAAGGAGAAGGTGCCCCCTGAAAACCAAAGATACAAATGCCTGATGAGTGAGTGACTGAATGAAGCAACATGCTGCAAATGAACCTCACTGAACCCGGCGCCGTCCCTCTGAGCCTCTGTTCCTTCATTTGTAAACTGAGGGTTCCAGCAAGAGAGTTGCTGACATTCCATGAACTTCTATGAACAGAGTAGCATTTTCCAAAGTGTGCTGATGGATGCTTTGTGCAAAAAGGATCCTATGTTCAAATTCGGTGAATGCTGGGCTAAAGTTAAATAGGTTTGTCTCAGAATTTAAAAACCATCATTTCCACCAGGTTCTACCTATTAGAAGTCATTAAACCCAGCCTATATACTAGTACAAGGGGAAGGGTTAGTTAGTGTTCACCTTTTGAAGGAAGTAGTGCCAAAGGACTGGTGGACATACCTTAGAACCACCACTCTGAGCACGGTTTGGATTCAGGATCTAGATAAGATGATCTTGAGCGATAGATGAAACATATTTTTCAAAATGTTTAATATGCCAGTGTGTTTTTCTGAGTGTGTATTAAAAAGTTTAACCAGTCCACTACCCTTTGAGTTCTCTGACATGATTGCTTAGATTAAGACTAGATTTTAAAATGATGCTTCGATAAGAGGTACCATGTGTGCTGCTGCTGTTGGAGCTCTTTTGATCACTTTTCTGTTGGGATCTTAGAGTTCATCTAACATAATCTAATGTGTTAAGGAATCTGAACCTGGGTAGGTGCACAAAAGACTAAAGTTGTAGCCGGTGAGAAGTTGTCCAAGTGTCTTTAGGCCAGGGAGTCCCATGATTATCCCTGGGCTACAGACAGCGTCCTTCTGTGGGCAGACCAGAAGGGCTGGAAGGTGAGGCCTGTGGAGGGAGCAGGGGCAGGTTGACACTGACACTGCTTTGGGATATTCCCAGCTGAAGACACAGGTGAAGACCCAAACCGAGAACCCGATCTGGAACGAGATCCTGACCTTACAGATTCAGGTATGACCCTCCCATCATGCCTGCCCGCCTCCCCTGCCCTGCAAACGGAAAGGATGTTTGGGTGTTGGTGTGTGTAGAAGTGAGGTGGAAGGAGGGGCCAAGAAGCACGTGAGGGGGGCGGGCTCTGCCTGAGAGGGAGCACGAGGAAGCCCAGGACTATAAGGGAAAACCTCACTACATCCAGGATTAATAAATAAGTGGGCCATACAACGGACCATTCCAGAAAACTTAAATGTGTCCTTTCACTTACATTAAGTAACAAAGCAACCACTTTAAAGACTCGTTCCAGGGCGCCCGGCTTGCTCAGTCGGTAGAGCATGAGACTCTTAAAGACTCGTTCTAAACTGTAGTATGAATTATCTCCTAGGCCAAATGCCCAGGACAGAATGTCAGCTCTTTGTTGATGGCCTAGAGCAGTGATGGCGAACCTATGACACACGTGTCAGAGGTGACACGCAAACTCATTTTTTTGGTTGATTTTTCTTTGTTAAATGGCATTTAAATATATAAAATATCAAAAATATAAGTCTTTGTTTTACTATGGTTGCAAATATCAAAAAATTTCTATATGTGACAGGGCACCAGAGTTAAGTTAGGGTTTTTCAAAATGCTGACACGTCGAGCTCGAAAGGTTCGCCATCACTGTCCTAGAGGTACCATGGCCCACATTCTGGGCTACATGTGGTTGGACTATTTGTTTCTACCCTAAATGCCCAAGAGACTCTTTGGTGTGGGGTTCTGAGGCCTGATTTTTATAGCCTTGCAGTCCTTCTTGGTCACTTGTCAATGGTGTGGATGCCGGTTCTCTTCAAGCCCTGGCAGCCAGGCTTCCAAGAGCCGTGTGCAAACCGAGGGGAGGCAAGTCTGAGAGAACTTGAGCACTTTCATGAGCGCAAGGCACAGAACGCTGAGTGCCATCCATTCGGCCACCCAGAGGGTGTTTGGGTTCCTTATCTTACATTTGTGTGACATGAACTTAGCTAAAGAGCTCCCCTCTTCCCTCCTTTGGCACCTCCTCCTCGCTTTCTTAGCAGCTTCCCCAGTCTCCTCCTGGTGAGTCATCATTTTTAACCATTCCACCTAATCCATACCGCCTTCGGTGATTTTATAGACTCATCAAGTAGGATGAGAGTTTAGAGGGCCAAGTTCACCCCCCACCCTTGCCAAGCTCACCCCCACCTCTGATGAGGCAGGACCCTCAGATGCTCAGCTGCCATTAGGCTCAGAACCAGTGGCCCAGGCCAGGCTTCTTCCATCCCTGAAGGGGCCTTCCCACAGTTAAAGGCATCCATGCATCCCCTGGGCCCTCACCCATTTCTGACAGGACACAATGTCCAGGACGGGGGCCACTTGGATGCAGGCCTGATGATTACGGGTCCTCTGGAAATGCAGCAGAAAGATGTGCGCCTCACTCTGATGTGGCCGGATGTGGTCATCCTCCACAAACGGTAGCATCTGAGGCCAGCTGGTCAGGGCCCCAGCAAGGGAGACTGCAGGGGGAGCGCTACTGAAATGGGGGGGTGCCACTTTATAGTCCAGGGGCCCAAGGACAGGAGGGGAGTCAAGGCAAGGAAGTGGGAGGAGAAGTTCCAACAGGGAAGATGGAAAGGTAGTTTACCCATGAATTTGAATTTGGTGGATTCATAACTTTGGAAGACCTGGGTGCCTGCTGGTGCTCATGTCTCCACTTCCAACGTCCTTCCTTAACCTGGGTAATTCCTCATTTCTTAATACCCAGCTGTTCAACCGGAAAGCCTTTCCCTACCTCCCCTTGGCCCCCAGCCTGCACAGCGAGGGGGGCATGGACGAGGAGAATGGAGAACTGGAAGGACCCCAGCAGGGCCCCAGGAACTGCTATGAGGGAAGAAGAGGCCCTGGCTGAGAAGATGGGGGACCAACTCAGACCTCAACCCGGCAGCTGGACTTTATTGTTCTCTAATTAAAGGAACCCTATAGCAGAGTAGAGCTATAACTCAGAAGCATGGGTTCCAATCCTGACTCCACCCCTTACTGTGTGACCTTGAACAAGTTCCTCTGCTTCTCTGGGCCTCATTTCCTGTCTGCAAATAGGGACAGTCCCAGCCCTCCCTGGGCTTAGGCAGTGTTGTCAGGAGCTTGAGGCTGCATCAGCCCTTGCACCTAACATGAGAACTTCAGGAATTCAACTTCTCTGTGCCTCAGTTTTCCTGTCTGAAAATGGGACTAAGAATAGCACCTAGCTAATGAGGTTGTTGGGACTCAATTGGTGCAGGAGATCATTCAGTACAGGTCAGGGGACATGGGACACCCCCCTTCCCCCAATCCATGGATAACCATTGTTCTTTACTCTTTATGGGGATAGATGACCCACTGGTTGAAGTTAACGGCAGATATGATCAAGACATTCTAGGCTCAAGACTCCCCCCATGAGAGGGTTTGGTAATTACACTCTGCTGGGCTGTGTGAGGACTGTAGTCGTGAAATCACAGTCCAGGTCTCACGGGTCCTGAGCTTATGCAATTAGCGGGCCGTTTGAAGACCAATAATACAAATGATCATGGGACACAGCCCTATCCTCTCCCAGGGCCTTGCAAGGATCCATGCAAGTAGGGGTCCTAAAGCTTAGGGTCCAGAAGCTCCCATGGTAAATCCACCTTGGCTGTAGTTAATGGCTCATTGGTAACTAAGCCAGGTCTTGGACCTGGACCCAGGACTTCCAGGTGCTTGTGGTCTCCGTGAGGACTGGACCCTCCAAGCAGGAACACACACCCACTGTGTCTCTCGCCTCTCCCTGCAGCTGCCCTGCCTCTCCAGCTACATCAAGTTCAAAGTCTGGGACTGGTGAGCAACCGGGTGGAGGCTGGAAAACATGCCGGGGAGGGGAAAGTCGGAGCTGGGTCAGGGGCTCAGCCAGCAGTATGTACTTCTCTCCAGCCCCAAGGGCAAATTCTGGAGTGAAATCGGGACTGTCAGCCTGGTACTCAACCAGATTTCGTCCACCGGAGCAGAAATAGAAGGCAAGCAAGCCCCCAGCCCCCCTCCAGTGCCTCTCGCACCTGGCCGCCCTCTCACCCACTCTTCTTGCAGGAACGTACTCTGGTTTCCTACCCTGCTTTGGCCCCAGCTTTCTGACTCTCCATGGGGGTAAAAAGGCCCCTTTCCAGATCCAAGAAGAAGGCGCTGTAAGCCTTTCATGTCAACTCTAGGGAACAGAGGAGGTAAAACCGACCATGTGTGAGGCACTGGGGCCTGGGAGATGCCTGGGGAGGATCCGGCCCTGGTTTCTGTCCACCACATGCTGGTAGATAACATGAAGCCTGTACGTAAATGGCCGTGAATGTGTGGGATGCATGCCATGGCACAAGAAAGGAGCAGATGGAGGGCATGGAGATGGGATCCTAGGTAAGATTTTCAACAGGTGGAAAGGACCTATGAGATGAAAGAAGCAGCAAAGGTAAATGTAGAAAAGCACTAGGGTTATTTAGGCCTGGTGACAAACACCAGAAAACCAAGTCCAATTGACTTACAAGAGGGAATGGGGCTGGGAAGGCCTCTGAGTGAGGAAGAGGCAGGCGCCAGAACCTCAGTGCCATCAGAAGACTCTCACACTCTCTCCATCTCTCATCTCTGCTGCTGTCTAGCCCTGGCCTCATTCTTTCCCACTGCAGTCAGGTTTCCATGCTGGCACTGTGTTCCCGGGACTCTCTAGCAGGGCCAGGAAAGCATTCTCATTGGCGTCCTTAGGTCACATGTGCTTCCCTTGGGCCAGTCACTGTGGCCAAAGCACAGGACATGGTCTGACTGGCCAGGCAGGGAGAACACACACTAGTTATCACAGTGCCCTCCCAGCAGGAAGCATTTATGGGATCTACAGGCCAAATACATGGAGGGGAGGAGCAATCTGAAGGGTGCAGAGGAAGGGTCAGGGCCTAGCAAGCCTGTCAAACTCGCGGCAGGCGGGCACATGCGGCCACAACGAATATTTTTGTGGCCCAGCCAATATAACGGTATATAAGAAATGTTTTAATAAAAATTTCGTAACTTAATTTTTACAATATCTTGCTATACATAATTATTAATAACGAACTACAACGTTCACTCATGACTGATTACTATAATCGTGTTGCATTCATTTCCCTTACGCATCTTACGCACAGGCCCACCATCTCTCTCCACTAAAACTAGCAGCAAATATTTTAGCAGCCGATTGCCATGTCATTAGTCTTGGACTGATCTGTTTGGTGTGCACAACAGGAAATATTTTACTTTCGGAGAAAAAGAAAAATAGGTGTATTTGCGTTACGCTTATTAATTTGTGCAGTTAGTTATTCAGTGTCTGGTACGTTAATGTTCAAGAAAAAATATTAATTTTTATTAAAATCTTCTATTATTTTATGTTAGTGATGACTCATTTATTTCAGCCCTTTGTATTCAGCATGTCTCTATCGAAATAAATCTATGTTTCTGTGAAAATTGAAGCTTTTGCTTTTTTGTGGCCCACATAAACTTCAACCTTGTTTATTTGGCCTGTGTTAGCCTTTGAGTTCGACATGCTTGGCCTAGAGGTTTCCAGGAACACTGTGTCTGGGGTCTGGGATTCCTCCCTGGGGTTGAACTTACCGGACAATTCTGTCTTTACTGCAGAGGTGTTGGGAGACGGGCCTGCTCTGTTTCTCTCATCCCCCTTCTCCTCACTTTCCTCTCTCTTTTCTTAGAGCATCCCCAGCTCTGTTAAGGACGGTTTGGAGTATCGAGGCCGGGTCTTCCTGGAGTTAGTCACCAACATCAAGTCCCACCCAGACAACAGGATAAATGACCTCTCCCAGGAAGTGACCAGTGTAGAGGTAACCCAGGAAGAAAGGGGCCCTCTGCTGACCCCAACCAGGGGCCACAAGCTGACTGTGGTGATGGGTGCGTGAGGATGGTGGTCAGTCCACCTGAGTCTTTCCTGAGCCACGAGAGCGTCCTGCCGTGCCGAATCCCAGGTGGCCAGGGCACCTAGTAAAGACAAGATAAGGCTTTGGCTGAAGGAAAGTGTCATCTAGTTAAGCGGGAAGATTCTAAGAAGCTTGGATTTCTTCCTGAAGGCAGGGAAGGCCATTGAGGCAGCAAAGTGTTGAGAATAGTCAGGGGGCAGTAAGGTGAGTCACTTACTTGCTCAAGGGAAATGGTACAGTTACAGGGGAAGAGAGCTTTACAGGAGAGAGCTGGTTCCAAAGGGACTCTGAGTGATCAGAGCCACCAACTAACAGGCCAGAAGAAGTGAAACCCATTCCCCTAAGCCAGTGGTCGGCAAACTCATTAGTCAACAGAGCCAAATACCAACAGTACAATGATTGAAATTTCTTTTGAGAGCCAAATTTTTTAAACTTAAACTATATAGGTAGTACATTATTATTAACTTAATTAGGGTACTCCTAAGGCTTAGGAAGAGCCACACTCAAGGGGCCAAGGAGCCGCATGTGGCTCGCGAGCCGCAGTTTGCCGACCACTGCGGACCTAAGCTGATGCCCATTTTCTGCCTCAGGCGGGAGAGAGAAGTTGCAGATGGTGCATGGAGACAAGTGCATAGCAACTTGGCTGGAAAGCGGAGGGAGACAAGATCAGGTGGTAGCTGAGGGGAGAAGGAGGCTATGTTTAAGGCAGGGGAGACCTGAGCTAGGGAACAGGCTAGGAATATGCAAGAGTAGGGCAGAGGGTGCTACAGAAACAAGAGAGGAGCTATAGAAAGAGGCCCCTCCCACCTGAGCAGAAGGGAGGCATGGTGGGAGGAGGGGGCTTGAGGAGGGGCAAGAAAGGATGTATGTGTGCAAACTCTACCTTGCACCCCTGCCCACACTCAGTCTCATCTGAGAAGAGCATTTAGGCCAAAAGGAGAAGAGTGGTGAGGTCCAACACGGGTGTAGGTAGGTGGCCCAACCACAGCTTCCCCTGACCAGCAAGGAGACCCTCCTGCCCACCTCCAGGAAGGGAAGGAATCAGGGTTGGCTGGGTCAGGGAGTGGGCAGGTGATGGAGGTCCTGGAAGGAACTGCCTCCTTGATCAGCCAGGTGAGTAGGAGTCAAGGCAAGGCTTTGAGTGGGGGTGGGTTTCAGTGATGGTCTAGGTCACCTCATCCTTGCCCCCTTCCTGTCTTTATAGCCTTGTTCATCTTGGCTTATGTTTTGGGGGTATGGGGGTTATTATTTTAGAAGCACAAGAACCGCTTCAAGTATGGGCTGTGCATCATCTTCCTTTCCTGTACCATGATGCCCAACTTTAAGGACCTGATCCAATTCGAGGTCAGCATCGGCCACTATGGAAACAAGATGGACCAGAATTACAAGCCTCTCGTCTCAACTACACAGTATAGCCCAGTGATCTATGATGGTAATAGTCAAATCCAGCCAAGAGGTGGAGAGCATCCACTGCATGCCAGGCTCTGTACCCTTGTAAGGGTATTAGCTCATGGAACATTCACAGGCATTGTTAACCCATGTTTCACACATTAGGAAAGTGAGCTTCAAGGAGGTGAAGTCACCTGCCAAACATTGCACAACTACTGAGTGCTGAGCCCACAAGAGTTGAAACCAGGTCATGGCTTCGAGTCGTCCTCCACGCTACAACTTCCCCAATCCCATCTTCTCCCCCACTACCCTGAACCAGCCCCGTCCATCCATGCAACTTCCATCCACTGTTCATCTCCCTACCTGCTATCCATCCATTTCTCCTCATCCAATATCTACCTATTGGACACCCATATTGGGCACTAGAGAGAAACCGTCCTCAAAATGCGATGTCTAGGCAGCAGCCTCAGTATTGCCTGGGAACTGTGAGAAATGCAGATTCTTGGCTCCACCCCAGTCCTAAAGAATCAGAATATCTGGGGATGCAGCCCCACAATCTGATTTAGCAAGCCCTCCAGACGATTCAGAGGCATGCTAAAGTCTGAGAATGGCTGCTCTGGTGGAATATGGTCTCCCTTTCACCTTCATCAGCTTCACCATCTTGTCACCCATTAAGAGGTTTTCCTCTCAGCTGGCAGTCATTGTATTCCTCTTCTCTGCCTGTTCTTTTAAGAACAGCTTTATTAAAATATAATTCGGAATACCATACAATTTACCCATGTAAAGTAGACCATTCAGTGGTTTTTCGTATGTTCACAGAACTGTGCACCATCACCGTGGTCACTTTTAGAGCATTCATCACCGAAAAAGAAATCCTGTACCCACTAGCAGTCACTTTCTATTCTCCTATCTCCACAACCTTAGGCAACCACTTATCTATTTTCTGTCTCTATAGAGTTTCCTATTCTGGACCATTTCCCCACCTCCCCACCCCCAACCCAGACCTTTTATATACATGAAATCATACAATATGAAGAAAGACTGGATTCTTTAATATAGCATAATATTCTATTTTTTATTAATTTTTTATTTGTATCCACTTTTAGTAATGATATGCTATGAAAAAACTTGTCATACCATCATAATCATTTTATTTTTTAATTGAATTTTAAAATAATCTTTATTGTTGAGAGTATTAAAGATATCCTCCCCCTTTCCCCCTCAACACCCCCCCCCCCAACTGGTTCCTGCCCCATCCCAGACCTTCACCACCCTATTGTCTGTGTCCATGGGTAATGCATGTATGCATATAAGTTCTTTGGTTAATCTCTTCCCCTCCCCTTATCTCTGAGTTTTGTCTGTCTGTTCCATGTTTCCATGCCTCTGGTTCTACTATATTCATCAGTTTATTTTGTTCATTAGATTCCATGTTTGGTTATTTTGATTTTTAAGTTCAATTGTTGATAGATATATATTTATTGCCATTTTATTGCTCTTAATTTTAATTTATTTTCTTCTTCTTAAAGAAGCCCTTTAACATTTCATGTAATACTGGTTTGGTGGTGATGAACCCCTTTCGCTTTTTCTTGTCTGTGAAGCTCTTATCTAACCTTTAGTTCTAAATGATAGCTTTGCTGGGTAGAGTAATCTTTGTTGTAGTTATTTGCTTTTCATCACTTTGAATGTTTCTTGTCACTCCCTTCTGGCCTGCAAAGTTTCTGTTGAGAAATCAGTTGACAGTCATATGGGTACTTCCTAGTAGGTAACTACCAGCTTTTCTCTTGCTGCTTTTAAGATTCTCTCTTTGTCTTTAACCTTTTGCATTTTAATTATGATATGTCTTGGTGAAGGCCTCTTTGGGGTTCATCTTGTTTGGGACACTCTGTGCTTCCTGGACTTGTATGTCTATTTCACCAGGTAAGGGAAGTTTTCTGTCATTTTTTCAAATAGGTTATCAATTTATTGCTCCCTCTCTTCTCCTTCTGGTACCCCATGATGCAAATGTTAGTACACTTGAAATTGTCCCAGAGGCTCCTTACACTATCTTCATATTTTTTAATTCTTTTTGCCCTTCTGATTGGGTGTTTTTTCTAAGTCACTAATTTGATTCTCAGAGCCCTCCATTCTACTGTTGATTCCCTGTAAATTATTCTTCATTTCAGTTAGTATAGCCTTCATTTATGACTGGTCCCTTTGCATGTTGTTGATGTTCTCACTTAAGTTCTTGAAAATCCTCACTAGTTTCCTGAGGTTCTCACTAAGTTCCTTGAAGTTCTTAATAAGTTTCTTGAGCATCCTTATAACCATTGTTTTGAACTCTGAATCTAGTCGTTTACTTGCTTCCATTTACTTTAGTTCTTTTTCTGGAGATTTCTTCTGTTCTTTCATTTGCAACATGTTTCTTTGTCTCTGCATTTTGGCTGCTTCTCTGTGTTTGTTTCTATGTATTAGGTAGACCTTCTATGTCTCTTTGAATTGGTAGAGTGGCCTTATGCAATAGGTGTTCCTTAGGGCTCAGTGGCTCAGCCTCCCCTGTCACCTGAGCTGGGCACTTTAGATGGGCCCCTGTGTGGGCTGTGTGCATTGTCCTGTGGTAGTTGAGCCTTAATTGCTGTTGGCATCACTGGGAGGGATTAAGCTTCAGGCCAATTGGCTGTGCAGACCAGCTGTGACTACAGCAGAAGAACTGCTGTGCAGGAGATGCCTATGGAGTAGGACTTGCCTCAGTGGGACTTTGAAGCTCTCAAAGCCTGCCCCTTACATTGTGTCTCAAATAGATGTGGTAGGGTTGTAATCTGGCATGGTCTGAAGCTGACCACCAGAGGCTCTGGAGCCTCCTGGGTGGTGCAAAGTCAGCCACTTCCTGTGCCCTGCCTGGGGCCACCCGACACAAGCTACAGAGCAATCTGCAAATGGCTGCTACGTGTGTTGGTTTTGGAGGTGCTAGGAGAGGCAAGCTGTGAACCAAGGGAGGCTGCTGCTAGTGCCAGGCCTGGGGCTCCTTATTGAGAGGTATGGGGCATGCTGAGGTTAGCTGCTGCTTGTTTGAGAATTTTTAGGAGAGTCTGAAACCTGAGCTAGGACAGGCCATTCATATGGAAAAGCTGCTGCAAATAGCTTGGGTGGGCCTGCAAATTAGGTGGGTGGACAGTGTGAGCCAGGTTGATTCAGATATGGTGCCAACCGATGGCAGGAGGGAGAGGGACGGGGGCGGGGGGGGGGGAGGGGAGAAAGGGAAGTTCTCAGCAAAGGAACAAAGGCTTTGCCAGCACTTTTGTCTGGGAGAAAGCTCTTCCTTAGTTCTTGCCCTGATGCCAGACAATTTAGTTCCTCGCCTTATGTCCCTGGATCCTTTCAAGCTGTTGCCCCAGTGCTGGAGCTCATAGGCAGTGTGGGTCTGAGTAACTCTGTGTGCAGACCCTTTAAGAGGAACTGCCTGGGACTCCAGCAACCCTCCATGTCACTCAGCCACAATCCCCGCTGGCTTTTACAGCCTACAGTTATAGGTATTTCTTTATGGAACCTTGGGCTGAGGGGCTCTGGTGTGGGGCTGGGACCTTCTGCTCCTCACAGGGGACCACCATAGCCAAGGAATCCCTCCCGATTAAAAAACCACCACACGTGGGTGTCGGACCAGTCTGTTCTGTGCTTCCACCTCTCCTACCAGTCTGAGTGGCTTCTTTAATTCTCTAGTTATAGGACTTTTGTTCAGCCAGATTTCAGGCAGTTCTGAATGATGGTGGTTCTGTGGTTTACTTGTAATTTTGTTTGTCCCATCATAGCCATTTTAAAAGAAAGATTTTACCTTTGTGTGGTGTCTGGCTGTGTAAGCTACTGGTAAAAAGAACACAGTATTCAGCCATGCCTTCTACTTGTTCTTAAATTATAAAATAAATGTACAAAGGTATATTAATGCATATATAGTGTAAAGAAGAATAAAAGTAGTACCCACCAGCTCGCACTGAGATTAAAAGAGAGAAAATAGCCTCTTAGGAGGCCTCCCATGTATTCTTCCAAGATTCATTTACCCAAGAACTAACCACAATCCTGACTCTTATGATACTGACACCCCAGCTTTTTAAAAAATATTTTTTATTAATTATTGATTTTTAGAGAGAGAGGAAGGGAAAGGGAGAGAAAAACAACAACAACAAAAGTTGATGTGAGAGAGAAACATAGGTTAGCTGCCTCCTGCATGCCCCCAAGGATCAAGTCTGCACCCTTTTAGTGCACTGGACAATGCCCAACCAACTGAGCCACACCAGCCAGGGCCACACCCTTGCTTTAAAAAAAATGCTTAATCACTTATGTGTGCAGCCCCAAAGAGCATACTATTGTTTCATTTTATATCAGTGGAACTTTTCAACCTGAACTCATCTGTTTTTGCACCTCAATATTAATATTTTATAGTGGTATTCGTAGCTGAAGTTAATGTTTATTTCTGTATATACCCTGCTGTATGATTATAACCTTCCCTATAAGTTTGGTAGAAGTCATCTCTAATTATGTGGTATATGTACACATTTAGGTTGTATCTTTTTTTCTACTATAATAATTTTGTTATAAACATTCTTATACATGTCTCCTGGTCACAAGACCGAGACTTCCTCTAAATTACAAACCCAGGAGCGGAAGAGAAATTTAAAGCAAAAGTAATTATAACAAATTACGCTTTCATCAGCGTGGTATGAGAATTCCTCCTACTCTGCATTCTCACCAGTACTTGATGTTGCCTAGTTTAAATTTTTTGCCAATCTGGTGAATGTATGTTATAATTGAATTTATTGGGGTGACATTGGTTAATAAAATTATATAGGTTTCAGGTGTACAATGATATAATACATCATCTGTATATTGTATTGTGTGTTCACCACCCCAAGTAATCTGGTGGATGTAAAATGGTATCTTATAAGATCTTGATTTGCATTTTCCTGACTACAAATGAAGGCTGAGCATCTTTTCACATATTTACAAACATTTGTTCTTCCCCATCTGTAAAAGCCTATATACCTTTTATCCATTATTCTATTTGGCTGTATTTTTCTTATTGACTTGTATATTATTTTTTCTGGGAACAACCTTTTGTCAGATGTGTGTGCCATAAATATAATTCTCTAAGTTTGGGCTTTTCATTCTCTTAATGGTGACTATTTCTTTATTGAGGTATTATTTACAAACAATAAGATTTTAAGTGTATAGTTAAATGGAATTTCACACACATACACCTGTATAACTACTATGGGTAGAAAAATAAATCACCCCAGAAAGCTGTCATATTCCCCTTCTCAGTCAGTCTCCCTACCCTGGGGGGCAATCAGTGCTGTGATGGCTATCAATATAGATTCACTAGAGGCCAGGTGCACTCGGGGGGGCGGGGGGTCCCTCAGCCCACCTGTGCCCTCTCACAGTCTGGGACCCCTCGGGGGATGTCCACTTGCCAGCAGGGAGCAGGCCTAAGCTGCAGTTGGACATCCTTAGCGCTGCTGAGGAGGCGGGAGAGTCTCCTGTCACCACCGCTGCACTGGCAGCCATCAGCCTGGCATGTGGCTAAGCAGAGCTCCCCCTGTGGGAGCGCCCTGACCACCAGAGGGCAGCTCCTACATTGAGCGTCTGCCCCCTGGTGGTCAGTGTGTGTCATAGTGACCAGTCATTCCCAGTCGTTCTGCTGTTAGGGTCAATTTGCATATTACCCTTTTATTATATAGGATAGAGGCCTGGTGCATGGGTGGGAGGCAGCTGATTTGCCCTGAAGGGTGTCCCGGATCACTGAGGGGGTCCTGCTGGGGTGCCTGGCCAGCCTGGGTGAGGGGCTGAGGGCTGTTTTCAGGCTGGCCACACCCCCTTCAGGGTGGGGGTCCTCACTGGGGTGCCTGGCCAACCTGGGTGAGGGGCTGATGGCTGTTTGCATTTTTCTAATAACTAACGATGCTAAGCATCTTTTTGTGTACTCTTTAACCATTCATATATCTTCTTTGGTGATATGCTTACACAAATCTTTTGCCCTTATTTATTTATTTATTTATTGTTAATCCTCACTTGAGGATATTTTCTTCATTGATTTACAGAGAGAGTGGAAGGGAGGAGGAGAGCTAGAGAGCGAAACATTGATGTGAGAGAGAGAGAGACATCAATTGGTTGCCTCCCATATTCCAGGGATTGACCCTGCAACCGAGGTATGTGCCCTTGACCAGAATAGAACCCGCCACCCTTCAGTCTGCAGGCCAATGCTCTATCCATTTGAGCCAAATAGGTGAGGGCATCTTTTGCCCATTTTTAAATTGGGCTGTTTGTCTTCTTCTTATTAAGTTGTAAGAGTTATTTATATATTCTGGATACAAGTCTTTTATCATATACATTACTTGCAAACAGTCTGTGACTTTTTTTTTTCTTCAGGTTTATAACTTCATTAGGCAGTCAGCAGTTAATTCTCATCCACATGAACTGTTTGCGGATTTTTATGCATTCATTGGTTGATTCTTGTATGTGCCCTGACCAGGGAACGAACCCGCAACCTTCACACATCCGGATGATGCTCTAACCAACTGAGCTAGCTACCTGGCCAGGGCACTTTTCATTTTCTTAATGGTGCCTTTTGATGAGCAAACATTTAATTTGGAAGAAGTCCATTTTTTTTTTTCTTTTATGGTGTCATATCCAATCCAAGAATTGTTTGCCTAACCCAAGGTCATGTAGGTTTCCTCCTCCTTTTTCTTCTAAAAGTTCACAGTTTTAGTCTTACATTTAGCACTATGATCCATTTTGAATTCCTTTGCATTTTCCCCAGCACCATCTGTTAAAAAGACTCTCCTTTCCCCAATGTTCTATTGTTTAGGTTTCCTACTCAGGGGCCCCGTTTGGTTCCACAGCTCTTGGTTTTCTTCTGTGTCTGTCCTTTTCTCCCCAGTCCTTCTTGACGCTTTCCGTTTCCTTTGGCCACTTTTCTGGTTTCTATGCTTCTGACCGCATTATCTGCACGGTCTGCTCTCCCCGGGGCTGCTTTTTCTATTCGGCTTCCTTTCTGTGATGCTTTTGTTTTCCTTGTACTTGTTTTCTGAGTTTTGCTGGCTCCCATTTCCTCATCTGACTCCCTAGTTCCTTCTGGGAGTGTGTTTTTGCTGGCACTTTCTGCTCTCTGCTCTGTCAAGCTGGGCTCCCTGCTGTCTGTCTTGGTCCTCAGGTCTCTGCAGGTGACTTCTGCTGGGCTTCACCCCTTGGGGCTCCTAGGGCAATCACAGTTGCTTTTGGCAGTCCTCGGGTGTATTTTGAGTCTGAAGATTATATCTGCCTCCTTGTTTTGCTGAAAATGGAGTTATTTTCCTTCTCCTTGTTGCTTTTGTACGCCATCCAAGAGTAGAAGAAGAAAATTGCCGTTTGTGTCTTCATGCTCCTATCTGACAACCCCAGCCTGGGATCTCTGCTTGTTTATCATCCTGATCATCCCCTCAGTGCCAGGGTCTAAAGCTGATTCCTTCCAACAATTTTGAAAAACTATATGATACTTTCCTTTGAAAATGACCCCCTCCCCTAGTCTCTTGTAATCTCCTTCTCGAATTCACTCTATCATCTGTGGAAGTTCTCATTTTATTCTTCATATTTTTAATCTATCTTCCATATTTGTCATATCTCTGGGCTGCATTCTACATTTCTTCTAGGGCTTCTAGAAAAGGCTTTAGGTGGCCATTTGATTGACCACTTTTTGGCAGCCCCTGTCCTCTCTCCACTCTTCTTCCACATAGTTGGACACACTGCATTTTACGTATTTATTTTGTCTTCTTTGCCCCCACTATTTTTTAAATTCTTATGTAAACTTTGTATATGAGTATAACATGTCTGTGGAAAAGTACACCAACCGAAGTGTCCAGCGCTAGGACACTGGCAGCGCTAGGCTTTCTCTCCTGACCCCTGGGCTCAGGCAGTGGCCAAAGCAGACGTGCCCCTGTCACGACATCCAGACTGTGAAAGAGTCCTGGCATCCCAGAGGCCCCTGGACTCCCCACCCGCCAAGGGCAATCACTCGCCTAGCCTCCAGTTCGTTTTGTCTGGTTTTTAACTTTATATCAAAGAAATCATATAGGATGTATTCTTATGTGTCTGGCACCTTTTGCCCATTATTTTGTTTGTGAAATTCATTCACAGACCCAGATGTTGCTGGGAGTAGTCACAGCTCATTCTCATTGCTGTGTAGTGTTCCATTGTGAAAATATACCATCATTTACTTGTCCTCCTGCTTCTGAGGGAGATTTCAGTGGTTTCCAACTCGGGGCTATTACGAATGGCGCTGTGATGAACATTTTTCTGTCTTTTGATAATGCCGTGTGTGCCTCGCGGTTGGGTGTGCACCAAGGAGCTGAGCTGCTGGGTCAGAGAGCGTGCACCGGTTCTAAGCTGCTCATTTTCTTGGAACTTTACCTGTGGAACCCTTTGGGACTTGGCTAAAGTTTCACGCCCCAGAGAGGGTTTGTCTTTTTTCCCTCCGGTTAGTTGGGGCCCTGCCAACCAGAGACCACTTTAAATTTTGTACAGACCCTGCAGGTGGCCTGAATGCAGAATGCAGCCTACAGGAGGGCCCGTTTGTGGTAACAAATTTGGGGGAAATTTCCCTGTCCCCTCGCCCCAGAGCCAGGCTGGAGACAGGTACGTTTCCTCACCGTGTTCTTCTGTGTGGGGGTTATTTTTCATTGACTGAGTGTTTAGGTTTTGAAGCGCCACCTTTGCGTAGCGTATTACTTTGCTAGGGCTGCCATGACCAAGCACCATAGTCCTGGAAGCTAAACATCTGAAACCAAGGTGTAGGCAGGAGCGGTTCCTTCTGATGGGCCTGAGGGCCGGTGCCAGGCCCTCTCCCAGCTTCTGGTGGCTGCCTGCGTGTTCGGTGTGCCGTGGCTTGTAAACGCAGCACTCCCTCTGTCTGCCTCTGTCTCCCTCTGTCACAAGGCCACCATCTCTTTTGGTCTCTCCTCTTATAGAGACACCAGTCATATTGGGTTAAGGACCCAGCCTGCTGCAGTATGACCTCATCTTAACTAATTACAGCGGCAATGAATGACCCTATTTCCAAATAAGGTCACATTCTGAGGTACTGGAGGTTAGGACTTCAACATATCTTTGCAGGGGACACAATTCAACCCATACCACATGGAGTCTCCTGCTAGACTGCCCACCGTGGCAGCGCTAGGCTTTCTCTCCTGACCCCTGGGCTCGGGCAGTTGCCAAAAAGAAGTGCAAGTTCTCCAAGATTTGCCAGAAACTCAGAGGGCAGGAGCCAGCCTGCTTCTACTTGCCTCAGACATTCTGCTTTATTTTTGGCTTCTGTGGTTTTCTTCCTTTTGCGTCAACCACATACCTCAGAAAAAGATCCCTAACGTTTCATCTAGGTTCCTCCCCTCCTTTCATTAAGAAACATCGCCAGGAACCCAATCATCGTGGGTTTAATCCATGCTTGCCCCGACCCCCTCCTCCACACTGGCAAGATGTCTGCCCATCCCAGCCAAACCCTGGGTCTTCTCCTGAGCCCAAGGCCCACTCCCCGCTGCTTTTCAGGCCACCCAGGGGTAGACCTGCCTCCAGTCATGCCTCTTGCCTCAGTAGCTCGCTTGAAGTTAAGGGCATGGAGCTGTGCAGCTAGACACCTGCATTATGCCCGCCCGGTGGTGCCACTTTAGGCAAACTACTTCCCAGCCATAGCCTGGATTGTCCCGCCTGCTCACTGGGGGCTTTGAAGGCTGCGTGATACACCGAGCATGATGAGTGCTCAATCAGGCGGCCCACCCTCTGGTGGGAGGGCTCCAGTTAGAATTATTAGCAGATGGCATCCTGGAGGGATGAAGTAGCTCAGTGAAGGTCCTCTGAGGGACACACTGAGAGGAGACCCCCCCACTCAGACACCGCGCCCCCCCCCCCATCTCTGTGTCTCAGGGAACATCTACAATTACGTGCCCTGGTACAACACCAAGCCGGTGGTGGCCCTGACCTCCTACTGGGAGGACGTCAGCTTCCGCATGGACTGCCTCAACCTTCTGCACTTCACTCGGGACCGCCTGGTGAGTGGTGCTGGCTGGGCGCAGGGAGGACCTGTCACCGAAGGGAGATTTGGGACAACGAGTCACAGTCGGAGGAAACCGGTCCCTTGGTTCACGCATGCCCTCCACACCGAGTGAGATGGAAGTGCCCAACACGGGGCTGGGCTCTGAAGACACCAAGATGAGTCAACACAGCCGCTGTCCTCGGCCTCGGGGAAGCCAGCGGTGCGTGTAGGCCTCTGCAGTGCAGCCAGAGCTTCGGAGGATGTGCAGGCACCGGCCACAAGGGCAGAGACTGGGCGGGGGAGGGAGGTGAAGAGCCAATAGTGGAGGACACGTTCGAAAAGGAGGTGACATTTGAGCAGAGCCCTCAAGAATGAGGAGTTTGCAGGGGGCATGGGCGGGGGCGGGGTGGGGGTGGGGGGCTAGAGACGGGAACAATGTGCACAGCATGGTGATGTGAAGGTCGAGGGTGGTGGGGGCATGGAGGTGAGTGCGAATAAGGCCAGAAAAGCTGGGAGAGGTCAGATCACAAAAGGTCTTAGGTGTCTGTTAAGAAAGGAAGCCGCTGCAGTTTTAGACAGGAGAGCCACGCGGTGCCTCCTCCTCAGATAGGACTTCCTCGCACATGCGAAGGGAAGCCCAGCATTGGGACCGGTGCCCCTCCTCGGCCCGCCTACCCTGGCTCCTTCCTGCTCCCCCTTCTCCTGTGGGGGAGTGGGAAGGGTGCGTGGGGCCCTAACCCCACAAGGGCCTGTGACAGCTTTGGTCTGGCATCCCCAGGTTGCCCCTCACAGGTTCCCAAGTCATGACTGAAAATGTCGGGCGAATCAGCCCTACAGCTGCCTGGTGCCCCATGCTCACGTGCTCTTTTCCTCCTCCTGGGCAGAAAGCCAATCTGGACGCCCTGAAATCTATGCGGAACCCGAGGGACCCCGCCCTGCTCCCCCAGTGGAGGAAACTGCTGAGGGACCTGGTGGAGGACTGCAAGTAGGAGCAGGGCGCCACATCGGAGCGGGGCCCCCGATGGCAATGCGCCCTTCCCCACCCTGACCCCACCTCCCCAGATCTCTCCCTGGCTTGAGACCCAAACAACAGAGCAGCTTCTCCTCTCCCATCAGGCCTTGCAGAAAATGGCCCTCACCTTCCCCACCTCCCCCGCCCCCGCCCTGAGCATTGTCCTTGCTGTCCCCACCCCACACCTCGTGCTCCCACCAAACCAAGCCTCTCAGTGTTTCCAGACAAGCCCTGCCCGGCCTGGCCCCATACCTTCCCCCTGCTGCTCCTCTCCACATGCCTTCTTCAGGGCTCTGACTGTTCCAGAAGATTCCTTGTAAGGCCTCTGCCTGCCCCGCACCCTACTTGGATCCCCACTGCTACACCTCAGGGTTTGGTTGCCTCACACCCCTCTCTAAGAGGTGTGAGCATAGGCCTGGCTCATGCAGGGACTGGGAGGGCGGGTGGGGGTGGGGGGGTGAGAAACTGGGGACCAGGCCTGCACTGAGCAGGCTTCTCAGGAGGGGTGGGAAGGGCTCCCTGCGTCAGGCCAGCAGGGGCTGGGCAGGATCTCGAGTCCAGGAAGGGCACGTTGGCCTAAAACTGGGCCAGAGGCCATGAATGGCCCAGCCCTCTCCTTCCTGGTCCTGGCCACAGGCGCCCTCTGCCCTGCATGACCCATCAGCCAAAAGCCACGGAACTGGACGGGAAGAGGTGGCAGCTCCGTAACCTCCTCCTCAAGGAACTGGCCCAAAAGGCCAAGGAAGTCCAGCCTAGGGACATGGTGGCCACCGTGGAGGGCTGGCTATACCGCCTCAACGCCGTGCTTCCCGAGGTGGGCGCTGGGCCCCTGGCCGGGAGCAGGCCGCAGAGCCTGTGCACGGGCCTGACTCTCCTGCCGCGGCAGCCCCAGGTGAGCATCCCGGACGTGATGATCTGGCTGATGGCCAAGGAGCAGCGAGTGGCCTACGCACAGGTGCCCGCCCACAGCGTCCTGTTCTCCCCGACGGGGGCGCTGCACTGCGGCAAGTTCTGTGGGAAGACACAGACGCTGCTCCTGCAGGTGCGCAAGTGGGAGTCCTTGGGCAGCTCCAGACCTGGTGCGGGGAGGCCGGGAGCACCCCAGGGAGACTCCCTGAGCTCTGGGGGCGTCCCATGAGCCTCCCCTCCGGCCTGCCCCTGCCTGCTCCCAGGCCCTTTATCAGGTGAATGGGGTGGAAGTTTCCAGAGGAAGGAAAGCCCATCAGCATGAGGCCGACGTCCAGTCCATGACCCAACAATGTCCCCAGATTGCCTCCTCCGTCAGCTTCACACCTCACTTAGCTCCTCCTCGTTCTCTCTCCCCTGGACCACAGTTGGGCACAGCCCAAACTATGCAATGACTGTAAGGTTTGGGCACCAGCCCATCGTATCAGATATAAGCCACAAATAAGGCTACCACCACCCTGACCACAGCCCCTGCTTCTAGCCGCCCCCAGCCACGGAGGCAGATGGGGACACGTACCTGGCTTTCCACTGCGTCCTCGAGAAGGTCCAACCTCCCTGGCCTGACCCTAGTCACCCCTCCTCCTCCGCCCTCTCAGGCCCCATCCTCTCAACAGTCAGGCCACGCTGGGCTCCCCCACACCTGCCTGCCCTCTGCCCTCCTGCCATCTCGAGGCCCCTCTTGTGCCCTCAGAGTCCTTCTCATCCTGCAAGAAGCACTGACACTTGATCCCTGGCTGTACCACTCGCTGGATTGTATGTCCTCGGCCACTCCTGGCCGTGCCCAGCCTCAGTCTGTTCCTCTGTAGAATGGGCCTGGTGACAATGACACCCGCTCACGGTGGTGTGAGGGTCAGAGCACACTGTGAGAACGCAATCAGTGATCACTAGGACCACTGTCAATGTCACCAGCATTCCTGCTGCTTCCTGGCAGCACTGCCCCGCTCCCCTCAGCCCCAACTAGTGTGGGGTCACATGTACAACCATCGGCTAGCTCGGCTCAGTGTGGGGCCCCTGCTCCTGGGGCTCAGGGTGAAGGAGCAGGTGTGTGCCCCTCCCTCACCTGCACCCCTGCCTCCGGGGGGCCCACACCCCTGTGGGCTTGACCTGCCGCTGACTCAGCACCCAGAGGGCGAAGGGCAGAAGGACTCGCTCCCGGCCCATCTCCGGGTCTGCATGTGGCTGGGCAACGTCACAGACAGCTGGGACCTGCAGCTGCTCCGAGAGGGCCAGGTGGTCGTGTACGCGGAGACGGTGAGCGGCCGGGGTGGGGGGCGAGGGGGACAGAAGCGAGGGAACTGCAATGGCCCAGCACCGAGAAAACGTTCCCAGAGAATCGGGTTCTGAAGGGGGTCTGATGGAGAAAGGCAGCAGAGCGACCGCAGACACTGCCCGCTTGGGGTCCCTGGTTCACAAGCCACAGACGTGGTCACTGAGTGGTCCCCTGGGGCCGGTCGCTCTCCCTAGTGGAGATTTATGGGGAGCTTCTCCCTGTTAGTTCAGAGCATGTGAGTGAGTGAGGCCCCGGCTTGCAGGGGCCTGTCCATCACCAGCCGGGCAGCCTGGGGCCCCGCACCCCCCAGCTGGGTCCTTCAGGCCAGGCTGGTAGTCTCAGGGAGAGGGAGGCCTGGCACTGTCAGAGGGACAAGAAACGGGGCGCCTTCCCACAGGGCAATGAACCCAGGGGGTGGGTGAGCAGGGCTTAGGCTAAGCTGTGAAAGCAGAAGGGAAGTGAGTTTAGAGTTTCAGGCTTTGTAATTTACTGAATTAAACACATTTCACGGTCCCTAAGTTGTGTGTGACAGGTGAGCATATAATATGGATAACCAGCTCCTTTGTAGGCTTGGAGATGCTGAGATGGGGATCCCGCACACCCAGCAGGGGAACCTGCAAGAAAGGCCCCGAGGTTGCAAAGAGGAGGCAAATAGTGGAGCAGGAGGGCCCCCGGGGTCAGCAGTGACAAAGCAGACAGGCCCCATTGCAGGCACCACCAGGGTCTCTGCGGTCCCACTGTGTGCTGGGGAGGCAGCAGATTCTGACAGCCTTCCCTCCACTCCCATCCCCAGTATGAGAACCAGGCCAAGTACAAAGACCAGTGGGGGCAGCAGGGGCTGTACCAGTGCCCCAACTTCTCTGACGTCCTGGGGCACAAGGCTCTCCCCAAGGAGGATTTCAAGGAGCCCTCGGGATGGCACTGGGAGGGGAAGTGGACGGTGGAGCCTCAGAGGAGGTAAGTCTTGGGTGCAGGGCCTGGAGCCAACACTTCTTTCTTCCGGGAGGCCGGTCAGCAGCAGCCTAGACAGGCAGGCACGCAGCCACTGGAGCCCGGCCCTAGGGTTGGGGTGCCCAGGCAGAAGCCCTGCCCACCACCCTGCCCTGCAAGCCGGCCCACTGCCCAGCCTTGCCGAGCAGGTGGGGTTCACAAGGAGGGAGCACTCGGCCAGCAGAGGAGGACCGCAGGGGTCTGGAAGTTTGGGGAGATGTGTTGGGAACTCGAGGTGTCGCTGCCCCCAGACTCCTCCTGGACACAGACATCAACAAGAGCCAGGTGCTGGAGGAGGTGTACGAGAACCAGCAGCGGGACCTCGCGGGGGCCTGGGTGCCGGCAGCCACCCCCAACACCGACGTGGTGAGCAGGGCGAAACCACCTCGGGGCGTGGGGGCAGTGCAACCAGATGGCCACCTTGGGAGCTGGGTGGTCCAAGCAGGAAGAGCGCTAGACCAGGGGTTGCTATCTGAGCCCATCCCCCTCTGTGTGGACCCTGGGCCAGCACTGATGATGGCTCCAATGAGACGGCCTCCTCAGGGGGAGGAGAGGCGGGGGCTGGGGCTGGTCTCAGCAGAACCCGCTGTGACGACGGGAGCGGTCTATATCTGTACTGTCCACGTGTGGCTATTGAGGACTTGCAACATGGCGTTGAGGGGGACGAGCTGCACTGAGTTTTGTTTCACTTCATTGATTTCAATGTAAGCGGCCCCGGGAGGCCGGCGACTGCTGCACAGGACAGGACGGTCTACCCCTCACGCCGGGCTCCCCTGGGCAGGCGGCCGGCCGCTGGGCTGGGGCCGGCGGCAGCATCCAGGCGGCAGCCACGCTCAAGTTTGCTTTCAGTCATTTCCACGGTTATTTCCTATTTGTGGGGAGTGATGCTGATTTTCCACTGAGAGTGGACCTATAAAGTTTCCTTTTAAAAATACGTTTATTTATACTTTGAAAAGGTGAGTCGGTAAAGGCATACTCAGTGACTGTGAGTGGCGTTAGACGTAGCAAGTGCCATCTGCTCCCGGTCGAGCAAATGTGCGGGCAGGTGAGTGAAGGCCCCTGGCTCAGACACCCCTCAGCCCGCCGCCTCTCCACCCGCAGAACGGGCAGCCCGTGGAGGCGCGGGAGAATGTGAAGTGCCCCCAAGGCTGGCACGTGAAGAAGAACTGGACTGTGGAGCTGAACCACGCGGTGGACAATGAGGGTCAGTCCTCTGCTCACAGGCCGCGGGCAGGAGGGCCTGGAGCTGCCAGGGTCCGACACTGCCCACAGCCTGAAAACAGCCAAGCTCCCGGGTGGGATGGGCCTGAATTCCTGGGGGGTCCCCCAGCCTCCGGAGAGCAGGGCTTGACCCTCCCCACAGACCTGGGCCCAGTTCTGAGACAGGGCAGGTGGGACGCACCTCTCAGTGCCTGAGCAAGGATCTGGCTCTGGAGCCGGGGTTCCCCCTGGGGGCTGCAGGGAGGTGCCCTCAGCAGGAAGTCTGAAGACCTGGGCTCAAGACCCAAACCCTGCCACTCATGAGCGGTGCGACCTCGTATGGGTCACATGACATCTGAGCCTCACCTTCCTCATCTGTGAGATGGGCAGCTGGGCCCAAGCCACTGAGGTGACACAGTGTGACCACACCTTCCAGGGCCAGAGAGACCTGGACACGAGGGCAGTGCTGCCCCTGTAGCCTGCCTTCTGGGGCCCATCTCCCAGCCTCCCAGCCTGTGGGACCTGGGCACCCACGCCACGGCCCTGCTCCTGCAGGCTGGGAGTACGGCGTGGGGATCCAGCCCTCCGGCCTGCCTCCGGTCTGGAACTCAGTGGAAAAGACCTACTACACCTGCCGCCGGCGGCGCTGGGCGCGTGTGCGCTGCCGGAACCACGGGAAGCTGAACCTGGAGCAGGAGACGCTGTCCTTCCTGCAGCTGGTGAGGGGCCACCTGGGCGGGGACATGGCAGGACCGCTGGCAGGGTCCACCCCGGGCCATGCAGGAGGCTGTCCCGGCTGTCATCCCTGCAGGACCACCCCGGCCCGACCCAGGAGGAGGAGGGCTGGGAATACGGCACCATGGGCTCCAAGTTCCACCTGAACCCTCAGCCCCAGAGCCGGTTCCGCCGCCGCTGCTGGCACCGCAGGCTGGCCCCCAACAAGGACAAGGGCATCGCACCCATATTCCTCCTGGAGGGGTCCTTGGTAAAGCTCAGAGGGCCGGGCGCCTCCTCCCAGCCCCTACCCCCTGGAGCCCGGGCCCAGGGAGGCGTGGCAGCAGCAGATGCCCTAGGCTGGGCACTGACAGCTCAAGGGTGGGGAGTCTGCATCCTGGATCCACATTGTCAGGCTTTGGAGGGTGGAGCCCAGAAGGGCAAAAGGGGGACCTGGGCATGGGCACCCAGGAGCCTCAGGGAGACTGTGGTGGGCAGGGGAAGGAGCTGAAAAGGCAGGAAGAGAACAGGCCGCCGTCACGGGGTCTCAGCAGAACGCTCAGGGGCCCCTGGAAGCCGGCCCCGGAGGACACCCCGCCGCCGCCCCACCTGCCTTTCATCTACTGCATCTTCGACAGTGAGCGCTCTCTGAGAGCCGTGCCTGGGTGGTCCCTGAGGCCCCATATCTGAGGGCAGGGAGAGGGGAGGGCCAGGGTGGAGTCCTGGGGGCAGGTGACAGAGTCCACTCCTCTCTTACACAGAGCCCCACTACTACCAGCTTTTCTGCTACATCTACCAGGCCCGGAACCTGATGGGCAACCAGATCCAGACATTCCAGGGTAGGTGGCAGCACCTCTTCTCCCCCAGCTCCCCAGGGGCCCAGGATAAAAAATATGGCAAAGGAAGAGGGTGACCAATATGCAGACCACCCCCCAACTCCCAGCAGCTCATGGCCCTGGTTTGGGGAAAAGACACAAAAACAAGGAATACAAGGCAAGGCTGTTGTTGAGGTGTGTCCCCAGTGCTGTGGAACTAAGAGGGGGAGTTGGGGAGGCATCACCTCGGGGGACCACTTAGCTGGCCTTGAACAGGGAGGAGTTCATGAAAGCAAAAGAGAAGTGACCATTTGGAAAACTCACGTGTCCCTGGAGCTGGACAGATGAGGGGTAGGGAGGAGGGGTGGCGATTTCTGGAAGGTTCCAGGTGGGTCAGTGCTCCGCCCTGTCCTGCTGGTGGCTGTGTAGGGAGCCAGGTTGCTGGAGGAGGGCTGAGCCGGGCAGTGTCCACTGGGCACCGGCACCTGTGTTGAGAGGCTATTTGATCCTCCCTGACGCCAAGCCCGCTCGCTGATGCTGTGAAAAGGCAGCCACGTGTAGCCTGGTCCTCAGAGCTCCTCCGGAGGAGCCACTGGCCCTCCTCCTCTGTGCCACCCAGCCTCAACCATAGCTGTGTGAGACAGATGTGGGTGGGACCAGTGACCCTGGGCCTCTGCCTATCTGTCCCTTTGCTCTGTGGCTTACACTGAGGTGGCTTCTGCACAGCGGGCAGTGGCGGGGCTGCCCCACCTGGGCCTCCCTGGGAGACGCCCTAGGTTGGGGCCCTGACAGGTGGTCCGGTGGCGGCCGGAGAGGAGAGCTTCACTCAGCTCAACAGTGAGACTCGCCCCTCTCCCCCACCCTCCAGAGCCCTTCGTCCGGTTGGTCTTCTTGAACCATAGCCAGTGCACCCAAACCCTGAGGAGCTCTGCAGCCCCCACGTGGGCCCAGACGCTCATCTTCCAGCACCTCCTCCTGTACGAGAGCCCTCACGACACCAGGGAGAGCCCGCCGCTCGTGGTGCTGGAGCTGTGGCAGCGGGACTCGCGGGTACGGCAGACTGGGCCGGGCAGAGGGGAACGTGCTCCAATGGGCCTGGCTCGCAGGGCGTGTACGCATACCTGTTAGCCCTTTCCCTAGACTCATGGGGATCCCCGGGGAGGAGCCAGGAGCCAGAATCCACTAGCTTGGCACCTTGTTCTGCAAATTTCCCTCCCTCCAGGGCAAGGAGAGCTTCCGGGGACGGAGCATGTGGCCCCCAGTGGTCTGGCTGGATGTCCAACATCGGGTCTTGCCCCCCATGAGGTGGCATCCCTTTGCAAAAGAGTTGGGGGAGGAAGAGGGCGAGATCTTGGCTTCCTGTGAGCTGATCCTTGAGACTGAGGTACTGGGAGAGAGGGCCCTGCTGGGAGGTGTAGTACTCAGTGCCCCACCTTGCCTCAGGCCCCTGCGACATGTTCCCACAGCCAGTGGTCCCTGACTCCACCCCCCCAAACCCCCTCAGAAAGGCCTGGGCCTGGAACCAGAACTCGGGGCCTGGGGAACTCAGCCAGCCTGCCCCCCTAACCTAGCTCTCCAGCCACCATCTGCCCATGGGCTCGGGGGCCGCCTCAGTTGAGCTCTCTCAGGAACCTGCTTGAGCTGTGGATGGAGAACAGTAGGAACAGCCCAGTGGGGCCTCGTGCTCCCTGCTCTCTCACCTCATCCCTTCAGAGTCTCAGAAGGAAGCTGCCAATCTTAAGTGTTCCCTGGAAGAATGGAGTCTTCACACTCCCCAAGAGCATGCAGCCCACGCTGAGGAAAATGGCGGTGGAGGTGATGATGGTTGGGGTGGGGAGGTTGGGGGGGTGGGCAGGGAACGTGGAGCTCTGCTGACCCTCCTGGGGTGGTCCTGACCCCCTGATCCAAAGCTGAGATGGAGGGAGATGAGAGAATGAAGAGCAGCTCTGAGGGGACATGTTTAATTATTTTATTGCACACTTGCTGCAGGGAGTAGACAGGGGACTCCTACCCGTGGTGGCATCTGAGCCGCGTGCTGCCCCCTGTGGCAGGGCTGCTCTCAGAGAAGGAAATGGGGCTTTGAGAGACAGTGACATGGGCCCAGTGGAGACCAGAATTGGGCCAGGCCCTGACTCCAAGGCCAGACGAGTCTCCTTTCTTTGAGAGTAGCATGGAAATCCCCACGTGGGAACCTATGCAACCGCCACAAACCTGGCAACGAGCAAAAGATGGTCAGGCCTGCGGGCACTGGATTCTCCCCCCAGGTGAGGCCCCAGGCTGGTCCTGAGGAGGGCCTGACCAGGAGGGGCCTGGGCATCTCCTGGGTGCTCAGTGTCTGCCAGCTGAGAGCAATCACAGGGTGTGGGCCACTGAATGGCATGGCGCCCTATGGAAGACAAGTCAGCAATGAGTAGCTGACATTAGGAAACCTGAGAAATCTGGGTACCCCCTGCTTGTGGGGGCCTCGGGAACTTCCTCCTCAGAGAACTGATGGGAGGCCAGACAGGGAAAGACAATGCCTAAGGGCAGTGGAGGGCAGTGAAGGACAGTCACAGTGGCCAGAGGGCCCCTCCCTCAGGAGGGAGGAGTATCCAGGCTGAGGACAAGCACTGCCCACTGGCCCTGTGTGCTCCCTGACGCATCACTGCCAGCACAGACCCCCCCCCAACAGAGGTGCTGTCACCCCTCCCTCTCTGGCAGGTCCTGGTCTGGGGGCTCCGGAACATGAAGCAGGTGCATTCCCCCCAGCTGCTGGTGGAGTGCTGGGAAGAGGCCCGGCAGACAGAGCCCATCAGGGACTTCCAGACCAACCCCAACTTTGCCCAGTCGGTCCTCTTCCTCACACTGGTAAGAAGGCCCCGGGCAAGGGCTGGGCAGCCCACTCCTCAAGCGAGGTCTCACGGGGCCTCTCTCTGGGCTGCAGTTCATGCCCACGGAGGAGGCCTACGCGCTGCCCCTCATATTGAAGGTGGTGGACAATAAGGACTTCGGCCAGCAGACCCTGGTGGGTCAGGCCAACATTGACTCCCTGCAGCCCTACTTCTGTGACCCCTGGGCCTCGGACTACGTGCCCCCACAGCTTCCAAGTACGTCCTTACTCCTAGCCCTTCCCAGGCCTCACCAATAAGTAGGCACAGGGAGGGACAGAGCCCTCCGCTTCCTGAGATGCACGATTGCTTTCTCCACAGAGTTGTCAGTGAACAAGCACCAGGTAAGTGATGGGCTTGAGGCCCCACCTTCTCCCACGCTATTTCCAGGACCCAGCCCTTGTCCCTGAGGGGCTCTGCTACCTGCGGGAGGCTAACAGTACATGACAATTCTAAAGCAGTGAGTCTCACCTGGACTGCATATTTGAATTGCCCATGAGTTTTAAAAAATTCTGAGCCAGGCCACTGACCAGCTCCATCAGAATTGCTGGGGGCAGGGCGCAGGGTCAGCATTATTGTCAAGATCCCCCCCCCCCGTCCCCCCTCGTGATTACAATGCTCTCGGGGTTCAGAACCACTGCTCTAGAGCAGCGCTTGTCACCTGAACGCACAGGAATCCTTGGGACCTCTGGCGCAAAAGCAGACTCTGAGGCAGTAGATCTGGGTGGGCCCTGAGGTCCTGCTGTTCAGGTTCAGTCTGAAGCTGTGGGCAATGAGAATAGGAACTGGGCGCACCCTCCTCCTTGCCCCAGTCCCATGTCTGACGAACTCAGAATGAAAGACCTGTGTGCGGTCAGCCCTGACTTCTACCCACTCCTCTCAGGAGGCAGGTGGTGGGTGGGCTGTGGGGTGCCCGGCTCTGCCCGACTCACGCCCTCTCCTTTCCCAGCTCCTAGATGACCTCATTGAAAAGTTCTGCTTCAAGTCCAGCAAAGCCGAGGTGATGTGGGCTCAGCCCAGGGGAACCAGGAGCAATCCCAGGTAGCTTGGGAGGCAGGGGAGCAGGAGCCTGGGCAGAGGAAGGCCAGCTGCCTCTCTTCCTCAGGATGAAGACGAGTATGAGGTGGACTGGTGGAGCAAGCTGTTCTGGGCCACAGGGGACGGCAAGTCCCCGAAGTACAAGGACAAAGACTACCACACCCTGGAGGTCTGGAAGCCCAGGAGGGAGACTGCCGAGGTGGAATAAAACCTGCTGGGCAGCCAGCAGACCTAGCCCTGATTCCTCTGGGAACCACGGTGTGGGGGGGGTTTCCTCATTGCCACCCCACTCCAGGCCACACGGCTACCAGCCTCACCCGTTCAGGGACCAAGGCTGCCCTGGGCTGAGTGGGCAGACGCTTGGGGACAAGACCTGGCAGCTGGTGGTCCCTCAACCCCCAATCCCAGGAAAGGCCCTCTGGTCAAGCCCGGGCCTGCTCCCCAGTAGCCTGGGTCCCACACGCCCTCCTGCAGGTGTATGACTGTGAGCTGGAGGCTGTGCCAGCCTTCCAAGGCCTGCAGGACTTCTGCCAGACCTTCAAACTCTACCAGGAACAGCCCAAGTCAGACAGCCCTGTGGTCGGAGAGTTCAAGGTGGGTGTCTAGCCTGGCTTAGCTGCCCCTTCTCCTCATGCCCATCTGTCCACAGAAGACTCTAATAAAAGCCCTGGCTCTATATGCTCTTTGTAGGATGGGGCAGGGAGGGCTTGAAAAACCATTTTGGAAGTGGGGAAGCAGACTGACCTATGCAGGGTTCAGAAGGGTAAGGTCTGTCTCATCCCAGCTATGGCCTATGCACTTTCCCAAGGCCCAGGAGCTTTAGAGAAGTTCAGACCTGAAGGGATGGGGCTGAGATGGGAGTTCACATCAGCAGAGACTGGCGAGCACAATTCCTTTGCCCAGTGCCTCCTAAACACAAGTGGTCCCTGTACAGCATCTCTGCTGTGCCTGCCTCTCCCCGACCACATGACCTTTGTCCTTACTACCCTTACATGCCCACTCTTCTAAGCTCAGCCAGGGCACCTCTTAGAGGGTTCTATAGAGCCGGCTGTCAACACTAATTTCCCCAAAACACACACAGGGCCTTTTCCGTGTCTACCCCTTTCCTGAGAACCCAGGAGCCCCCCAGCCCCCCCGCCAGTTCTTGGTTTGGCCTCATAAAGAGGACTTCCCTCAGCAATGCCTGGTGCGGGTGTACGTGGTACGAGCACTCAACCTGCAGCCCCAAGACTACAATGGCCTGGTAATGAGCAGCCCAAACCTGCAGTGCCCATCTTCCACACCTGCCTAAAGCCCATGTCCTAGAGCTCCCTCAGGCTGCTACCACCCAGACTGCCCCCTCCCCACAAGCTCTGTCTGGTGCAAGGGGCTCATTTCTGCCCCACTCCTGCCCTCCTTGGCCTGACTCTCCATTTCCTGTCCTTCCCTCACTTGTGCCTAACCCCAGTGTGACCCTTATGTGATCCTGAAACTGGGAAAGACAAAACTTGGCAACCGAGACATGTACCAGCCTAACACCCTGAATCCCATCTTTGGCACGTGAGCTGCCCCAACTTGCCCAACCCTCTCCTCCACTCCCACCCATGCAGCGCCAGGAGAAAGCCCAGAAGTAAAGAACTTGCATTCCCTTCTAGCCGCCCAGTTCCTATCATGGAGCCGTACGCACTAAAGGTGCTCACCAGATGGGAGATGAACGGGTGGATGGCCCAGTTCTATCCTCACATGCTGTTTGGGAAGGGAGCCAGGTCCCACCCACAGGCCTATCACTTGTTTCCTGCCACACATGGTGATGGTTATTAGCAGACAACAGCCCTCCGGGCTCTGTTCTCCACAGTCACAGGACCAAACCAGGGGCTGGAGCACGGCCCAGGGGCAGAGATGCTGGGGGGAAGCATGTAGGTAACATGGGCTCGGTCTCTGTGGGCTCCAACGCCATCCCACCAGGATGTTTGAACTGAGCTGCACCATCCCCCTGGAGAAGGACCTAGAGATTGAGCTGTATGACTTTGATCTGTTTTCACCTGATGATAAGATTGGCACCACAGTCATCGACCTCGAAAACCGACTCCTGTCTGGCTTTGGAGCTCGCTGTGGGCTCTCCCAATCATACTGCCAGTAAGAGCGGGCCTGACCAAAGGCCAGGGCATAGAGAAGGGTGGAGGAGGGAGCCCATAGCTGGGAGCCAGGGCCTGAACCTGTCTCTCCCTGCCCCCACTACTGTCATCCTGCAGCCAAAAGCTGTCCAGGCCCCACACCTTTTCCTCCCACACATCCCCACAGGTCAGGACCCTTTAGGTGGCGGGATCAGGTGCCCCCAAGCTTCCTCCTGGAACACCACGCCAAGCGCAAAGGATTGCTTCCACCTCTGTTCAACCCTGATGGTGACTCTGTTTTTTACAATGGGAAAAAATTCAAGCTGCAGCGCTTTGGTGAGCACTGCACGTGGCCAGAAAGCACAGGCCCAGGCCTCAGAAACCAGGGAGGCTCCAGGATGGAAGAGCTGCCAGAGGGCACATCTTTCTCCTTCCTCCTGCAGAGGGCAACTATGGCTACCATTCAGGCTGGGCATGAGGAAGGTGGGGCCTACCTGGGAGAAGGGAAGACTACTGACCTCAGGATCCCCTCCTGCCCCTTTCAATCTAGAGCCCCAGCCCCCTACTGCTCGTTACTTGGGCCCCAAAAAGGAGCGCCTTGCACTGTACCTCCTGCACGCCCAGGGGCTGGTACCTGAGCACCTAGAGACCCGCATGCTGTACAGCAGCAGCCAGCCAGGCATTGACCAGGTATGAGGCCGGAGGGTCTGGAGTGGAAGACAGGGGCACACCCATCTAGGACACAGCCCAGGAGGGAAAGGAGAAGCTGGGCTTTCAAAGATGCGCAGGGGCAGAAGACATGCACGCCTGCATGTTAGTAAGCAAGAAGTTCCAGTGATACCATTTAGAACGGAGAGGGTCAGAGCTGGAAAAGTCATGTACAGGACACTGAGGCTGTGCGTCAACTGTAGGACGTGCTGAGGCGCCCCGGCAGCCAAGGCCAACCCTGCCTCAGTCTCTCCTGAGGGAGGGCAGGGCAGCAGCACCAGGTTTGATGTGCAGACATCACACATCTGGTTTGGCTATTAGTTGCAGGAACCCAGGGCAGAAGGAATAAAAATCTCAAGGGCCTTATTACCACCCACCCTCTAGCTACCAGAATGGCTCCCTTCACTCTACATTTCTCAAGCTGATACCACATTCTAGACAAAGTTCTCTACTCAGCATTTTTTTAAAAGCATTCTCACTCAACCTGTTTTCAAAACAAAAGAAAAAATTAGGTCAATTTCAAACAAAATAAAAATGAGGTCAGACAGTTTGAAAGACTAAGTTTATCTTTCTTCCAGTGCTGGCAGTTCCACCTCTTCCTTTCCCCCACCAGTGTCATCCCTCTTAGACCTCAGTGCTTTGTGATAGCTTCATACCCTCGGGCTGTGGTTGCACATTCTAAAGCAATCTGGAAATCTGGCCTGGCAATCTAGATTACTCTGACTCAGGGCCACTAAGCTGGCTAATAAATAAAAGCCCAACACCATTCTGAGCTTTCTAGAAGCTTCTAGCATCACCTGCTAAATGGCATTAACCCTCCAACTCGTTACAAGAGACGTCCCAGCACCATGACCATTAGCCTTAAAGTCATCATACCTACCAACCTGACTGCATCTTCTCCAGGCCAAAAAAAAGGAAAAGGGGGAAACTGTTGGGCAGTTGCCTGACTTCCTGTCTGAAGTCTTTCCATCTCAGATACTGTACCCCACCTCTCAGTGCTGGGAACATGGCCTCCACAGACCTAAGAACCTGGAACAGGGCTCCCAGACCAGCACAGAAGACAGGCTAGGAACCCCTGCCAGCTAACCCATCTCTGCTCCAGGGAAAGATACAAATGTGGGTGGACATCTTCCCCAAGAAAATGGGACCTCCTGGCCCCCCAGTCAACATCAGGCCCAGGCAGCCTACAAGGTGAGTGTGGGCGCACTTCCTGGGGGCAGGCACCAGGGTTCCCAGTACCGAGCAGCTGGCATCTTCCCTCTGCTGGGAATGCTGGGGACTCCCTTCCCGCCAGTGCAGCGTGAGTGGGCATGGAGGGTGGCCACCCAGGCCAGCCTCCCGCACCGAGGCTGCTGCTGGGCAGTGAGTCCTTGGCGAAGGCTCAGGGTGCCACGGCCGCAGGTATGAGCTGCGCTGCATTATCTGGAAAACTGCTCACGTGGACCTGAAGAGTGTCAATTTGAGTAACGAGAAGATGAGTGACATCTACGTCAAAGGGTGAGGCAGAGGTGCAGGGCTCCAGCACAGCTCCCCAAGTCCTGTTCTAGCTTTCCTGTGGGTCCTCCTCGTCCTGGGGTGACATCTCCCCACTTCCACTGCACCTGGCGTCCACTGGGCGGCCCTTCCCAAAAGGCTCCAGCTCGGGACTGGGGACAGTGCACATGGGCCCAGGTGAGAGGACTCTGACCCCAGGTGGCTATTCGGGCTAGAGAAGGACATGCAGAAGACAGACATCCACTACCAATCCCTGACTGGCGAGGGCATCTTCAACTGGCGGTTCATCTTCACCTTGGACTACTTGGTGGCTGAGCAAATGTGCGTCCTGAGTGTGAAGGTAATGAACGTGGAGGTGGGCTTCTCTTCCTGCCCCTCCCTTCAGAGACTTGCAATTGCACCAGAACACTTGGAATGAGGCCTCGGCAGAAGCCCTCTTCCTGGACAGTCCATCACGCTAGGTGTGAGCTCCTCAGAGGGCCAAGGGGACTCTCCTAGGAGTGGCGGTGACACACTCCTTTGCCATCCTTCAGGACTACATATGGAGCCTAGACCCCATGGTGATGAAGTTTCCGGCCCGGCTCATCATCCAGATCTGGGACAATGACATCTTCACCAGTGATGACTTCCTAGGTGAGCTACTGGCCTGGGCCTATGACCTCAGGACAGGGAGCTCCTTTGTGCCGACTGCATCTCTCTTGGCTCAGGGGTCCTAGAGCTGGATCTGTCTGACATGCCCTTCCCGGCCCAGCACCCAAGCCTGTGCTCCATCAGGATGATGGATGCTGACCCCAAGTGGCCCCACCTCCTCCAGCACAAGCGCTTCTCCCTCTTTAAGAAGAGGACTGCAACCGGCTGGTGGCCTTGCCAGGTCCTCGAGGACGGCAAGTGGCGCTTGTCGGTAGGAACTGGGGAAGGTGTCTACTGCACAGGACTGCTGTGTCCCATCACTGGCTCTAAATCCCTGGGGGCCGTACCTAAATCCCTCTCCCTTTGTGGGTCCTGGGAAGAGGTTCCTGCGACCATAACTCAGCCTCCCACCCCTTGCGGTGTTTCTAGGGTAAAGTGAAGATGACACTGGAGATTCTGTCCGAGGAGGAAGCCTTAATCAGGGCAGCAGGACGTGGCCAGTCAGAGCCCAACCAATACCCTACACTCCACCCTCCCCCGTAAGGCTCCCTATTCAGAAAGCCGAGCTGCTGAGCCTGGCCGTATACCCAGGGGGTGGCCAGTAGCCACAGTGGAGGGGTAGTTACTTCTCACCACCTCAGCTCAATGCTGTCACAGTCGGGAGAGAACAGCCAAGGGGAGAGGGGGAGATGGGGCAGAAGTAGCTTTTCAAAAAAGAAAGGTCTTTGCCTTGGAAAACTTGATCTGAAGGTCCCCTCTGTCCTCCATTCTCGGACTCAACGCTCATGGACAGGCGCACCAACACCTTGCTCTCATGGTTTCAGTCACCTATTAGAAACTTCTGCTATGTTTTCTGGAAACGCTACCGCTTTAAAATCATAATCATGTCAATCATATTGATTATCGGGCTTATGCTGTTCAGCTTCATGTACTCAGCTCCGGTGAGTGATGCCCCTGGGGACAGGGACAGAAGCACTGGTTGCTCTTGGGCTGCCTCTGGAGAGAGCCTCTGGTTGCTACCTTCAGCTGACTGTTGCCTATTTCCTCCAGGGCTATTTGGCCATGAGCTGGATCAAACCTGAGCTTCGGCTAACTGCACCTAAGAATATGTTCACCAATATCTTCAATTCACTGAACACCAGGAAGGCCAGCTCTTCCAACCTCACTACCCCACGCCCTACCCTAGAGTCTACAACAGGCCGTCAGCTGAAACTCCTGCAGGAACACATGAATCACCTGCGACATATTTTTCCAGAACTCCCAGCCCCACAAGGCTAATTTGGCCAGGTTTGCCTGGCTTTTCTTTGCCCACCGTCAGCCCTAACCTAGAGCTTCTTGCCAATTCCTTATTTCTATCTTCTAGGACAGCAAGGGGCTAGGGATATTCTGGCCATTCTGCTGAGAAACCACTTCCATCAAGAAAGGCAAGGCTGTAATTTTCCACTGAAATAAACAAGCTTTGTAACAAAGCCACTTTGTAATTTGGGGGCGGGGGGAGGGGGTGTTGAAGACCATATGAAAGGCCAGCCTTTCGGACAAGACTCCCAGGGACAGGAAGCAGTGTCGCCTTTGGCACTACCTCCATCTTCTGTCTCTTCCACACGAAGAGGCTCTGAAGTCAGAGGGAAACAGAGGGAAAGGGTGGCAGTGAAGAGAGAATGGCCCCATGGGGTGAGCCACTGGAGCCACACCACGAACCCTCCTCCAGGACACACCTGCGGTGCAGTGGCCAGAACAACATCCAGCCCCATTTACAGGGGCAAACATTTGTTTCCAGGACAAAATACAAGAGTTAGGACAGAACACCCCATGTCTAGTCAGAAGGCGGCCCTGAACCTGAGCTGAAATCACACAAAACCGACAAATCTGCATTCACACTCACATGCTTCCCCTCAGGAGCCCACCTAGGTCCTCCACCACAGGGACCAATCTCCCCTTGACCTCAAAGAAGACAAAAGAACCATTTGCTTTTTCAGTTCTACCTGGTCCCAAGGCCAAGCGCTCAATCAGTTGGTCCCCTGGCACTTCGGAGCTGCTCTACTGTGGTGGGAAGGCGTTAGGCAGAGCCCGCCTAATCCCACCTGCAGGGGAGTTACTGCCTGTGATGCCCTAATTAAGCACCTGGAAGGCTATAAGCAAGCCCGAGAGCAGGGGTCCTCAAACTACGACCCGCGGGCCACATGCAAATACAAATATTGTATTTGTTCCCGTTTTGTTTTTTTACTTCAAAATAAGATATGTGCAGTGTGCATAGGAATTTGTTCATAGTTTTTTTTAGTCCGGCCCTCCAACGGTCTGAGGGACAGTGAACTGGCCCCCTGTTTAAAAAGTTTGAGGACCCCTGCCCAAGAGGATAGAGACCAGACCCAGCCAAGGCAACCCTCCTTTCCTTCTGGGTTGAGCTGAGGATTTCACAATGGAGGGAAGTCAGAGCAAGGACTGACGGGCTCAGCAAAAAGGCCTGGAGCCTTCCTAAACCCACGCCCAGAAGGAAGAACACGCAGTCAGAAGCTCGTGTTGGGTTCCATCAGCCATTTTACGAATCTCCCTTAGGCTACAGAAGCACAGGCTAGGAGAGCTCAGCTCTGGGCCCTCTATCAACCAATCTCATCATAGGCAGATGGGTGAGTGGAGCGGTGTGTGACCCCTTGTCCAATAGGCAGTGAATAAGGGCTAATCCCTGGAGGATGACACTCAGGCTCTATTGCTCAATGACAATGAACTCTTCCAGGCACAGATGACAAAGGCCTATTGACCCAGATTTGCAACACGAGAACAGCAACTTACTTATCCATTAAGAAAAAGAAGCCCGATTTCCTCCTGGGGAGTATCCAGGCCGAGACTATAAGAAAGAAGTTTTCTTACATTTTGAACACTCAAAGTAGGGTTCCAAAGACCATGACAGACACAAAACATGCAGCTAAGCAGGCTCCAGTCGGTCCAGAAACATCTCCATGTGGTCGGGTCACTCAGCAAATGTTGCTTCTGGTGTCAAAACCTGGAGCAGGTCAGTGTCACAGTTCAGCCCACTCATCCACGGGATCTTCCAAGCTTCTCTTGACTTGCACACCAACTTCCAGCCGAACAGACTGAGGGCTGAATGGAAGGGCCTCATTGGGAAGATCACAAACACGCCAAGAGATCCAGGATCCACGTGGACAAGCAAAGGCTAGAGCAGCGGGCCAAAGCAGAAAGCCTTCCCTGCGGACACCTAATGAGGGTCAGTGCAACATGTTTGTTCTGCAGCCCTGGCTCTGACAGACAGGCATGGAAGGTCTTCTCGATCTCAGGCTGCATGTGAAGAGGACAGTAAAAGGAGGGAGAAGTTTCCACCCAGGTTTCCAAGGAGAGCTGCTCAGGTGGACAGAGGCTTAGACAAAAGCAAAAACCAATGAATGGATGGCGGGAAGGTATGAGGAGTTTTCCATTCTTTGCAGATTTAAGTGAGAAGCACGGGTGTCCTGAGTCCAACACCAAGGCATCCTGGGTTATGAAGTTCTTTTCTGTGATCTTGGCATCATACCAGGAGATCCTATCTCCACCCTCTGAGCTCCCAGTGGACGGACTGCAGGGAAAGGCACATCACAGCAGCATTGCCCTGGGGTGGGTGGGCTTCCTGAACCAGAGTCAGAGGTCCTCACAGATGACCATGGGAATACAGTGTCCCTGAACTCAAAGCTCCAGTGACAGAACACAGTCCCTGACCGGCTGCTGAAGAATGGAGAAGACCACTGGGCTGTGTGGTCAGGCCAGCGCCTGTTCCTCCCACACCTCATGGGGACAGCCACAGCGGAGGTGGCGGCAGGAGGGCTCAGTAGAAACGTTTTCGGCTCTGTTCCTGCCACTTGTTGTACAGTATGATCCCAATGACAATGGCAAACACGGAAAACACCAGAGAGAAGAAGACAATGAGGAAGAGAGCCAGGCCACTTAGGGGCGGCAGCGGGGCTGTCACTGAGGAAGCAAGAGAGAAGCAAGTCAGCGCCTGGGAGCCTACCCATTAGGAAAGACCACCAACAAGCTAAAGCCCCCAGGTTCCAGTGCCCATTCTGGGAGACAGAACTCAGACTCTCCCTTTCCAGATGCTTTAATCCAAAAACGAAGCCGCCGCCTCCTGCTCATCTGTAACCTGAAGACAAGTGCCAAGAGGTGCCAGTGCTCCATATCCCTCCGAGAAAGGACAAAGGAGACAGCCCTGCGAGCTGTGGGTGAGGTCCCCTGGCCCGCCCCAGCACTGCGACCTCCCACTGTGGGCCGTTTCCCAGGGTGCCCATGCTTACGCTCAGGCAGCTTCATGTTGTCCACCGAGGGCAAGAACACGTCTCGATGAAGCTTCTCCTCTTCTGGGGTTCTCTCCACCGTCAGCTCAAATAACTTCAGGGAAACGATGTCATGGTTGTCTAAAGGAAAAAGTACTGCTCAAGCCCCCTCAAAAAGAGGTATCTTGGAGTATCTTGGCTCAAGCTTCCGATTCCACAGCTAACTAGCAGTGACCTTAAAAAAATAATTGCAACCTGTTTTCTCATCTAAAAACAAGGATAAGAAACAGGAATATTCTACATTATTCTATAATATTATAGATAGATATATCTCAGAGAAAGATATAAACATCAATGATGAGAATCATTGATTGGCTCCTCCTGTACGCCCCCCACACTGGGGATCGAGCCCACAACCCAGATATGTGCTATGACCGGGAATTGAACCCTAACCTCCTGGTTCATAGGTCAATGCTCAACCATTGAGCCATGCTGAGAGAGCTCTCTCTTTTTAAAGCATCATTATAAACTCATCAATTCAAACACATTTGACGTGTTTCAATACACTGAGGTTGTACATCTTACTGATGCCCAACTCCACTCATTGTGTTCCAGTGGGAGCCTATGCAAGTTGGTTTCTGAATCTTTTTTCATGAACCCACTAGCTTTTTAAGATTTTTTTTATTTTATTAACTTTTTTTTTCTTTTAAAGAGAGAGGAAAGGAGAGGCAGGGAGAGAAACGGATGTGAAAGCATACCCCCTACGGGGGATCGAGCCTACAACCCAGGCATGTGTCTTGACTGGGAATCAAACTAGCAGCCTTATAGTGCACAGGATGACATTCAACCAATTGAGCCACACTGGCCAGGGCCCAGTAATTCTTGGTATCTTCCTTGCTTTTCTGGAAAGTTACCACTTATACACTTCTTGCCATAGATCTGCCATTTCTCCAAGAAACTCCTGTTCCTCTCAGTGGAGACTGGTATTAAGAGACCACAAGTCTGAATGCCAGGGAGGTTATGGCTACTTGGTTGGATTTTTTGCCATTTCTATTACTAGGATGGCATCTACACCTGCTTAGACTTAGAATGTTAGCAGACCCTTAGCAAACCCTGAAAAATGGGATTTGCCTTCAATGAGGTGTTTTTGCTGTCAGGACTGAGTGGGAGCCATGGACAGAATAAAATGGAGGGCACTGCTCCTCACAATGTGGGGCACCAATGACTGAAACGGCTGGAGTGTACCCCACTTTCTCAGCCATTTCAATACCCACTGCCTAACAGTAAGAAGGTATCAACAAGAAAGACCTTAAGAGAAAGACAATTTCTATTTAGGGACATTCTATGGGTAGAGAACACAGACTCACTAACCTAGGCATTACCATCAAAAACCTAGAGCAAAGGACTCCTTAGGACAAACAAAAAATGACTGTATTCTCTTTGGTCATTTCTAACAGTTGGGAACAATTTCCCATTGAAAAGTGCACCAGGAAGTTAACTGACAGGTCCTAGAAACATGTAAGCTTAAAGGAAAAGGCAAAGAAGACATTTCAACTTGAAACACATAATAAGATTACCTAGCAAAGATCTAAAGCTTGTGCCTCCTGTGCCTGGGCCCAGGGTAGCTCTGCCCCGGCCTCAGCCTTCTGCACAGTACTCAGCCCCTGGTTGCCAGGGCAGAGCAGGTGAGGGCAGAGCTGCAAAGGGGCACCGGGACTTCTCAAAGTGATGGAAACGCTCTGTGTCTTGACTATGGAGGTTATGACACAGGTGTAAATATTTGTCAAAACTCTTCCAACTATGTACTTCTGTTGTATGGAAAGCACATCTCAATAAAGTTGATTTTTTTTTAAAGCCATGATTTAAAAATTAGATTTCATTTTAAAAATCCAGATTCCCAGCTTCTCTTGAAAAACTGACAGTATGGCCTTACCGAGCCTGCATTTGCTCTTGGCCACAACGCTGGAACCAAGCAGCTGTTGCCCATTTCAGATGGGTGTTTGCCTTTCCCTTTTGCCAGAAGAAAATTCTATTCCTATTGGCTTTATTCATAATAAAGTATGTCCAAAAATTCCAAAAGTTTGGTTCTTTACCTCTTCTCAAATGACGTTATGATTGGGACTGGAGCCAAGGGGAGAACAAATGGGGACAAGGAGAAAGAAAGTCGGAGGAGACAGGAAAGAAAAGCAGCAGGTACTGTCAGTGGCACAGACCTTCAGGGCACATGGTCAAAAGAGCTGACGAGAGGACGTAGAGCCAGGACTGAGAACAGAGTGTCATGCAGGCAGGGACACAGTCACTCTCACTAGGAGAGTGCTAATGCACAGTCGAGACATGGGTCCAGGGCAGTGTGTTCAGAATGGAATGGCAGGAAACGGGAGCATCTCTACACATGAAACCCAGAAGTCTGAGCACAAAGCAGGGCCTGGGAGCCAGTCAAGGGGGACAGCAGAGTCATGAAGAAGCCTTGTTCAGAGAAGGAGAACTAAGCACCTTAGGAGTGGGAGGGAGGAAGCGGACTAGAAAGGTGGCAGCAGAGTCAGAAAAGTGCAGAGCTCAAAACACAGGCTGGAGAGCTGGCTCCTTGAAGAGGCAAACACTACTTTCCCGTAGCTCCAACTATCTCCCAGGACAGCTGTCTGAGGCCAGCCTAAGCCTGGGGTCTTAAGGAATCTGGGTATGAGAATGCAGGAAGATAAGCACTCCCAGGGCACCTGCTTCCCAAAGTCCTGGCCACTGAGACATGGCCTCAGTCAGGGCAAATGAGAAGTGCAGTGGTAGTACCTGAGAGATCCCCGGTGATGGAGGAGGTGCCAAAGTAGTAGCCCCGGGGCAGGCGGACCCCGGGCACCTCAATGCAGTCCCTCCACTCATGCTTGCCATCGATGTCCATCATTACCTAGAATAAAAAGAAGAGAGAAATCAGGGCCAGGCCCCAAGAGCAGGAGCCAGACAGCCCATACTGCCAACTGGTCCAGAACAGGGACTCACCGTTAAATGCCTCTTGACATAGCGAATCACAAGGAAGGTGTCATAATGGAGATTGCGGACAATGGCCGTACAGCCCCCCAGCTCTGTTGGCCGCCCATCCCGCTCATGATCATAGCTGAGGGAGCCATTGTTCACCATGGCTGAGATGTAGGGGAACACCCGCTAGGAAGGCAGGGAAGGAAAAGCAGAGGACAATGAGGAAGGGCAAAGAGCAAAGAGCAACAAGAACTATGCACATACAAGCTGAGCACCTTACAGAGACCAGACAATAGCCCAGCCTCATCAGTAACAACCCGCTAGAACCCACACTCAAGTGATATGGCCCAGGAAGTGACTAACTCTGTCCTTGTCTTCAGGGATCCTCCTTGCTACATGTCTGGGTGGGTCTGACATGGTCCTTCTAAGGCTCTAACCTCCTCCCTGAGAACACCATTTGCACTGTTCCTCTGCACCACACTAGTGGCTTTTTGTGTTTATGTACCTACCTACCCAACTGCCATGTAAACTCCTTTAAGAAAAAATAACTTGTTATGCTTTTTTGCATGTCTCCACATTAGCCCATTCCCCATCCCCCCCCCCCCCCCCGAGTGTTTTGAACACAACAGGTATTCTGAAAATACCTTTTGATCAGGGATATCTTTCCATTCAGGATAATTCCTTTCAAATTCTAAAATCCTATAAGCACATGATGCAAGATGGACCAGGACTCAACCAGGTTGCTGGATGGTGTTCTCTAGCCAACATGACTGTTTTAGCCAAAAAACCTTCCAGCCCAGTTAAGCTTCAGCCACAACTTCTCCCAATAACACACAGAGCAAGGTTCTCCCACTGCAAGTTTCCCCAGATCCCACCCACTTCCCTACCCTACTTCAGAGGCCCTCTCTCTTCAATAAAATTGTAGGAGCACATCTTCCTTAGAAATGAGCAGCTACCATTTAAGAGCAAGCTCAGTGCTAGGCAGTGCAGATGGAAGGAGAGGTCACATGACACATGCCACTTGGTGAGTTCCACACTATGCTCAATATCAACATGCAAATGAAGATGCACTCACAATCAGAGACTGGTGACTCTTGAGACAAGAGCCACATGGATTCTAAACAGTAACAAATGTTGGATGAGCACACAGGGAATAAAGGATGGCCATGGTGGGTCAAGAATTGAATACCTGTACTCCTGGAGAATATCGCCTCTTCTGGGCCTGAGAGGGTCCACAGGTTTGAAAACAAGAGAGGGCACAGAAGACAGGAGACCAAGTCAGAAAGAAACAGCCATGGAAGAGCTAAGACCCAGCGGTGATGGGTGAGCAAACCAGTCTCAATCCCCAAACAGAAATTTAGGGTCCGTGGAGGGCACTCAAGTCCTTGTGCCTCTCAAAATTATAGGCAAAACTATATGCACAGGTGCTTGTACATTATGAGGAGAGGAGGTGTTACTATCACCAGATCTGCAAAGAAGTCCTCTGGGAAGACCTCTCTAAGGTCCTGAAGCTTACAGAAGCTTTATAAAAAAGACAGCATTACACCATCCAACCAGCCCCCCTTATGTCTCTGAGAGTCAGGAGGTCAGGCCACAAGTTTGTACCCAGACTGCAGTATTTCTATAGCAAGGGGAGAGACAGGGCTAAGTTCTTCCAAATTCAAGATGCTGTTTACTGCCCAGGATCTCAGAATATAGCTAGTGCCCAGAAGACAAAAAGCCCATGAGGCTGTGAAATGAACATGAATCCAAAGGGATCATTTACCCTCTAGTTGAGCCTGTGGACATATTTCCAAATATATAACCTATAACATGTGGGCAAGGCAAAGCTCCATGGGAGTGTTGAAACATGGCAGATGGTTCAAGGATAGTTTTGCTCCAGAAAACTGCTACAGTACTAGCAACAAGAGATACCTACACTGGCTCATTCAGCCCTACCCTAGAGAAGGGTGTGTAAGGGTGTAGAGCGCAAAGCGTTCCTTCCTCTGATGCTTCCTGAGACCTGTTACCAGCCAGACACTGTTCCAGATGCTTTAAGTTCAATGGGAAACAACATAGACAGGCTTAATGGAGCTGGAACCGGAGGCTGAAGAATCACAATGACTCGGGCAAAGGCGGCAGTTCCATTCCTAACTGAAGAGTCACCAAAAATGAGGAACTCCTGCCTATTGTGCAAATCGCTGTCTGGAGGGTGGAGACGTGCTTTCACATTTTTGTACTGCAAGGCCACTTTTTTAAAAAAGGCACCTACATATAATTGTACCTTCAACATATCTTGATTGAAAGGAGACCCGTGAACTTGTGGATCTACAAACCCTATGCTAAAATTCCCCAGACCCGAAGCACACAGCTGTGAACCACTGAACAGAAAAGAGCAAACATGGCCTCTGTCAGCAGGGAGAGATGTTCTAACTGCGGCCACGCCACTCCCAGCTTCATAACTTGGGGTGAGCTCCACCAGCTGAGATTCCCTCTCCTTGCCGGAAGCAGGGAGAACACACGGCACACAGGGCTAATTCCGAAGATGAAATGAGACGTGTAAAGCACCTGGTACAGTGTCCGGCATTCCGGAGGGAGTCAATAAATAATAAATGTTCATTCAATCCATGACTAAATGAATGAATTTCAGATAGAAATATTGTTTACAGGTGCTCATATATAACCACAACGCCGAACACATAGTTTAGAGCAGTAATTCCCAGATCACTGGCTTGTCATGGACCAGTAAAATCTTCAAAAATATTTTGGAGGTTAACAGGTCTACCTTGTTGGTTTTCTGATCTACTAAATACATTAAAATACAATAATGACAAGACAACCATCTTTATAAACATCACTTTTTTATAAATATCATTTTTAAAAGAACATTTTAATACCAAAGATAGAAATATGTAATGTCATAATAAAACATTTGGCATCTATCAAAAGTCTCCTCACTGTTCTTACTCTCAGACCAGTGAAACCATCACCAACCAACAGGAGCTCATGAACTTGGGAGCACTTGGGAGCCACTCTTTAGGGCAGTTTTTCCAACTACACCATCCTGCAGCTGAGTAAGCCATCCCAGTTTGCTCTCTGAACCTAGACAGATATGAAGAAAAACGGTAGAAGAGAACAGAGCCACGACGGCTATTGCGAACACACCTGCAGGATGGCCCTTGTGAGTGTCACTTAGGGGTGAGAACAGCTAGCACTTTCTGAGAGCTTGCTCTGTGCCAGGCACTGTACCAGTAATGAGCACATATGCATTCCTTTAATTATCACCACCCATACAGTTATAGTATTGGTATTCCCATTTCACAGGTAAGAAAACTTGTTTAAGAGGACAAAACTTGTTTAATAGGTTTTGCCTTGGCCGGTGTGGCTCAGTTGGTTGTAGCATCATCCCATACTCAAAAGGTTGCGAATCTGATTCCTAGTCAGGGCACATACCTAGATTGTGGGTTCGATCCTGATCGGGTTGCATACAAGAAGCAACCAACCAATGTTCTCTCTCATCTCTCTCTCTCTCTCTCTCTCAAATCAAGAAGCAATCCTCAGGTGAGGATTAAAAGAACAGAGAGAGCGAGAACACAGGAATTGAGTAGTGAAAGCAGGATTTGAAACAGGCAGCCAGAGCCCAGGGTCCTGGCTCAGTCACTCAGCGAGAGCTACACTGCTCTCAATATCTACCAATATGGAAAAATGCTTAGTATATACTGTGAGATACAAAAACAAGAAACTAGGTCTCTACCCTGCAACACAAAGGAATACTGGGGAATGGTTCCATATCGAAGGAAGGACATGACAACTGAAGGCAACATGGCATCTGGGCTTTTCTTTTGCCATAAAGGTCAGATTTGACAACTGATGAAATCTGATTAAGGTTAGTAAATTCGGCAATAGTATTGATATCAATATTAAGTGCCTGGTTTTGATCACTGTGCTGTGGTTATGTAAGAGAATTCCTTGTGTTTGGGAAAAACAAGTGAAGTATTTAGAATAAAGGGGGCAACTTGCTCCTTAGTTCAGGAAAATATACACAGACAGACAGAGACACAGATACACCCACAGAGGTGAAGAAAAGGCAAAGCGCTCTGCCAGCACGAGTCAGTGGTTAGAGCATCAGCCTGTGAATGGAAGGGTCTTGGGTTTGATTCCCGGTCAAGGGCATGTAGTTGGGTTGCAGGTTTGCTCTCCCAGCCCCAGTCAGGGCGCATGCAGGAGGCAACCAATCGATATTTCTCTCTCTCCCCCTCCCTTCCATCCTCTCTCAATGGAAAAAAATATCCTCCTGTGAGGATTAACAACAACAACAAAAAGGCAAAGCAAATGTAATAAGACATTAACATTTTGGGGAATCTGCGTAAAGAGCACCCTGAATTCTTTATATTATAATTTACCTGTAAGTCTGAAACTATGTCAAAATTTTTAAAAGGTTAGTCTGAATCTAGTATTTGCCATCTTCTCATTTTTCTATATATCTAAAAAACTTAAAATTAAAAAAACAACAGTATGTTCATGTGATGCAGTGTTTTGGTTTTTGTTTTTTTTGTTTTTTTTTTATATATATTTTATTGATTTTTTACAGAGAGGAAGGGAGAGAGATAGAGAGTTAGAAACATCGATGAGAGAGAAACATCGATCAGCTGCCTCCTGCACATCTCCTACTGGGGATGTGCCCGCAACCCAGGTACATGCCCTTGACCGGAATCGAACCTGGGATCCTTCAGTCCGCAAGCCGACGCTCTATCCACTGAGCCAAACCGGTTTCGGCCAGTGTTTTGTTTTTTAAAGTTGTTTGTACATTTTGTTTTAGCCTTTTCTGATTTTTCCATAATGAGCTTTAATATAAAGAGATCAAACAAATGCCCCTTCTGCAGCATCTCCCTTCACACCTCCGTCTGTCCCTCCCTTTGGACACAGGTGGAACACATAGAAGCCATTTTTCAGGCTTAAAAACGTTGTAAGTCACTGGTCCTACAGTAATCTTCATCTAACTAGCCCTTTATGCAGGAATCTGGTACAAAGGTGACAGGGTAACTCAGCAACATCCATCTTACATAGAGTGACATCAATGAGTTCTCATATCATTGGGCAGCATGAGAAGGCCCCGGCTCCCTAAGCTCCCAAACTGCTGCCAACTATACCAGGGACTGTCGCCAAGTCTTAAAGCTCAACTGAGGACACTCCAGCCAGTTAACTGCCTGGAAGACTGTCACATTTGTGAACATTACCATCTTTTAAACTCATGGGATGATTTTAATCCCATTTATGTTAGTTATGACCCTACTAGAACCAAAATAATGTAACTTGAGGACTTCAATAGAGCTCTAAAACCAGAAAGCATTAAACTTGATGTATGCCCAAACACCAAACACTGAAGTTCATGACTCGTCTACCCTGATTACAATTGCCAAGATTCAGAACACTGCCTAATGTGCATGTCTCCAGTTCACTGCTGCCCATCATTCTGATAGTATGTGGATATGTCTCATTAATGAGGAGATCTGGTCTACAGTTCTACTTTGAGGAGTTCATGAACTTCCTAAAATTGAATGCAAAATCCTGTGTAACTGCATCTTTCATCATATTCTCAAAAGGGTCAAAACCCAAATAAAGTAAAGAACTAACCCAAAGTGAAGCGCAGGCTCTTGCCTTTTTTCTCCTTCTTCTCTCCCTCTTTCACTGTCTCAAAAACAAAACACCTTCTCACCTTCACTCAATTCCAGCAGAAAGCCATACATTTCTACTTCCCTCAAAAATTAGCTCTCAGCAATGAAACAGCCTCACTGCCTACTCTCATCAGAACCTGCCAATACTCCACACACCTACTCTCCAAAGGAGTACCTTGAAAAACACTACCTTACCTGGGACCAAAACAAAACCCCTAAGTCACATCCATGTTGGATGATAACAAGAGAATTTAAGACGGATGAAGTTCCCTTAATAACGTAAAGATTCTTTCTGCCGACAACGAAGAGACCAAGAGGGACTGGTGTCTTCATCGAGGGAATGTGTTGTTGGTTTAAAATAGAGGAGTATTTTTTTAAAAAATATTTTCATGGATTTCAGAGGAAGGGAGAGGGAGAGATAGAAATATCAATGATGAGAGAGAATCATTGACTGGCTACCTCCTGTATGCCCCCAACTGGGGATCAAGCCCACAACCTGGGCATGTGCCCTTGACCGGAATCAAACCCGAGACCCTTCAGTCCGCAGTCTGACGCTCTATCCACTGAG